TAGGGCACGGATGCAGGAATCGGTTCACCTGTCACAGAAACACTTTTGCAATCCTTACAGCCGATGGATTGCTACACATTACACAGCACATGGTCAGTAACGTAATTAACACACCTCTACTGAGCCTTGTTTGAAAACTGGCTTCCGAGAGGTACTCAATATAAATTTTATTAAACACGTGCGAAAACTAAAATATTTTTCAACGAAACTGAATTCACTTTTTACGCCTTTCCACGCGCACTTTTTACAACGTTACTTTTATTGTTGGTAATTAATTACCTACCTGTATTACGTGGATGCTTCAACGCGAATTTATTTCGTGATTACTCAATATTATTTATATATATAACGGCAGTCTTGTAACAGTCGATGAAATAATATAGTTGTATTCTACTAAAGTTGAACTAGTTGTGATCCCACTATAAGAACTAATATTATTTTAAAACTGAGAAAATATAAAAAAGCACTTACAATTTTTAAGTCACACACGTCAGTCACGTTGGGGATTTATGGTAGAACTATACTTATAATCTTAGGGTGATATAGGTAATATCGACCAAAGCGAATAATAGGCGCCAATTATAATGCCAAATAATAAATAAACAATTGGTTGTCATAATGGCAGCATATGATTTCATTTCTTTTAGGATTCCATGACCCTATTGTTTGGACGTGTTTACATAACATATCATCATGCCCTTTATTCCATCTTTGCACCCTTGACACCTTGCCTGGCCTGGGAACGTCAATCGGAACCTCTTTAGAAATCTGTAATAAACAAGTTAAATAATAATAGATACCATTTGTTTCTTTATATCTACAACCCATTCCTTTCCATTGTCCTATTTTTATTAGTTATCCCTATTCCTATGTTATAACATAACATCACGCCTTTTATTCCCAAAGGGGTAGGCAGAGGTGTACATTACGGCACTTAATGTCACTGTACAATGAAACACTCTATATTATAAGTTATGCCTTATTTTTGTTTGTATAAACTACGTGATTTGTGGTTTGGTTAGTAACAAAATTATCTACAAATGTAGAGTTGAATTCAAACGCTGCTGCTAACTTATTGTAACTTTTTTGCCCTGGTACCTTATACACTCGGTTTCCATGTAGGTACAATTCTTAGTCACGTAAGTTATGCTTAGAGCACACTTTTTTCGCTAAATATGTCGCAAAGGCACGATATACATCGAACCAACGAAGCCAGAATCTATTCACACCAATTGTAATATTTGCCCACTTTTGCTAAGAACAATAGCTGACTTGTACGCCAGTATGGGAACGTGCATAATGTAAATATTTTGACACGTAGACACGGGTATCTACCAAAAACATAATGTGACTACTATAGTGATTGTTTTCCATACAAAAGGGATAATTTAGCCAGTATCGTATAGCTAAATAGATACCTCGTCAAAGAGAATCCGTTAAACCTATGATTCATATTACGACTAACCAAATTATAAACAGAAATTGTTATCAGAATTTCATATATGCAATTGAATTCATTATATGGAACATAATGTGACACATAGGCTACGACTACGACCCAACAACCAGATTGAATCACGCGTCTATAATGTATTCTATTCGCTTAAAAACAATGTAAATTATGTAAGAACCTTAAGAAATTAAATCTATCAACAATTATATCATAGGTAATGACCAGTTATTCGGTTTGCAATTTGAGTACATCCAATCAGACAAGAGACTCGTGGTTTAAGTAAATTAGATACCTGTCTTACTTATGTTTTATGCTACGTTAACATTCCACTAAGTGGGTCAATCACCACCATAACTTAGTTATGGTAAAAAAAGCAATTTATATTTACTAGTTGCTCAACCAGACCAAAACATTCGCACATTCAACGGATTTTATGACCGATGTTAGGAAGTCGAGCATCTATGGACCTATTAGGAACTGGAACAAGTCCCTACCTAGATATTTATTTTTTCCTACATTTACATAGTGGTACTGGAAAGTTCCTATTTTATACATTAAGTAAAATTTTTCAATACTTTTTCATTAAGCAGTCGAATCGAAATTTACATGGCAATAGATTTGCTTCTATTGCATTCTTAAGCATAGGATTAGACCTATTAATTAAAGATTGTTTATACAAACAACAAAATGTACATAATGCCAACCATTTCGAGAATTAACAAAGGAGATTTTTGATGATATAATTATATATTATCTGATGCATTACTAAGACAACGTAACCACAACAAAACACATTACGAAAAGAAAACTCAATAATAGATATCTAAGCACCTACGTCACATCATCGATTATCTTTTTCGACTCTTTGCATCACGGGGTCGCAAGAGTCTAGATTCTTGTCCAAATAGATAATGTGAAAGCGTAATACATCGATAAAAATCTTAATTCCGAAATAAATTACTAACAGTGATTAATCATACTAAATGCCAGCTGTGCCTATCTAGATTAAGTTAAAACGTATCAAAGTAAACAATACCTAAAAGATGAGTAAATAAATAATAAAATTGTTTGCAGCATAGTTTGACATCTTGGCTGGCTAAAACAACTTCCTCCGCTTGTTGGACGTCCAGCCATTGTGCCAGTGTTTGTAAACATATAACGGGCAATTTATCACACAATGAACTATTGTTTACCTCGGATTATTATAGGTATTGCCTAAACTCAATTACAACATTTACCACTAATACCCATTGCTGAATATTTTCTCCAAATGCTATGCCAAAGTTTTTGTTTTTATTACAATAGGTCTATCTATTCAGGATTTTATTGTTTTTTTTTCTCGGTCGATATGTCAATTATTGTTTTTTGAATCATCTGACGTATCACTTCTGGTGTTTGCTGAGTTTTTTCTATTCAGTTCCTGCTGTTATTTCAAGTGACAGGGACATAAGAGAGGGTCAGTGGTCAGTGATAGATATATTTTTTTTATTTTTATTCGACTCGTATTCTTAATTAATATAAAGATTTTACTAGTAAACTAAAATATATGTGTTTCATTAGTTTTAACTTCCATATTTACTTAAATTTCTCAACATACCGTCTTTACTGTGCAAGTTTCGTTTTTTATTGTGAATCTACCTCTACGTACTAAATACCTATCTATTAAAACGTTATTTATAAAAAGAAAATAGTAGGTAAAGTAATTATAATTATTGACCAAAATTATAACTCCATCAGGTTAAACACCAAGATGTAGATACTTTTTGGTTAACATCAATAAAAATACAAGATAAGTAAATAACCTACATCGATATTTTTTTCAGATTCACTTTGATAAATCCGTGTGGAGAGCAGCTTAAACAGAAGCACACCTACCCTCTAATATTATTTTACAGGAAAAAATAACGGTGTATAAATTTAAATTATTGCTGTAATATATTTTTAGTTTTTAAAGAAAGCACTGCACAAAATGTTCAACGTTAATAATGAAATAACACTGCACTGTGTACCTGTATATCGGAGCGTGGCGTTGTCGCCGGTAGCCGGGGAAGCGTGCGATCGGTCGCAAGCCGCAAGTCGCAGCACGTGTTCAATCACAAATTCGCGAGCTACGCAGGGAGGCGAAGCGTGTCACGGTGCGCCGCCTACGACCTATACTGGAAGGGAACCTTCGCACTCGCACCGATTTTACTCGCCCCTCTACACAACATAACACCTTAAAAGTAAAAGTGGTTGATCCCGAAGGCGTGGCAGCCGGCCGGCCAACAGCCGTGACTCGGCATTGCCTACACTACATTATGTTATTATCAAGGTGCGTGGCTTGCCAATCGTGATAGCTATCACGCTTGCCAATCACGCATTTTAATAAGGAAATGTCAAGATCAGATTTCGGTTGTCTAGGTCTCTTACAATATAATCTAGACTCTCCTAAAATAAAGCACTTATTGACCTCAGCTGTCTTTTATTACTTTCAGCTGCAATTAATAAGAATGAATGTGGGACGTGACACGTAATCCGTCACAAATACTAAACAAATTTTAGATACTGGATACTTCGTTGATAGAGTAAAAAAAGAATTCAAAAGTTTTCCTGAAAATTCTGAAAAGCAAGTACCATAAGATTTATACCGATTTCAATCGAAACAATTGACAATACCCAATTACTCATCTCATATCTGCGTCTTTACTTAGGATTTGATTGTCTGCTGGCATTAAATAGGCTGCAAAATTATTAGACCGATTTGAAAAAATATTTTACTAGTTATTTATAGATTTACTTTTCAGGTCCTGGTTCCTCGATTATTTTTATCCCGATATTCGTCCTGTATTAGGATCAATGTGATGATCTTTCTGATTCCACGCGGGTGAAACCGCGCACGGAAAGTTAGTAAAATAATATACAATAACAAACTACCGATCAGCTAATTCATAGGTAGGTGTACCTAAAATATCCTTTCTAAATTACAAGCCTCCACGCAAACCTGTAGGTACTTTAAAATTAAGGCAATTAAATAGGTATCAATAATGGTAGAAGGTAATGTGAACAGGTGAGTATTATGGCGCCGGCGCAGCGACATACCTGTGTAGGTACTAGATAAATGCCGCAACTATGTAGTGGTTCCCAGGCTACACAATTGCTGGTTTTTGTCCTCAATCGATATAATACAGCTGTATTGGAGACTGTGAGAGCAACAGGAAACATGAGCCCAACCCTAGTGTCGGAAGAGTTAGCTCATGTTCCTGCAAAAACAATTAGAGCGAAACGGAATTCGGGTCCTATCGATTTACATTATCTATGTTTCGTAACTCTATCTACCTACCTAATGTGTTGTAAACAATACTTAGGTACAATAAAAATGGCGAACGCGAAAAATTTGTGACTACTGACTAATTTGAACATTGCAAAATATTTATTTCTCTGAAATGATATGAAACTTTTCACGTTAGCACTTTAATTTTAGTGTTATACAAAGAAGTCTACCTAATCATTAATTGACGATTATTATTTACAATTACACTTCAGGTTCGAACTGACCGATTTAAAAACGATGCTGTATAAATTCTTAATAGTTTTAGTGGTGATTTCATTAAAATTAAGGACGTTAAATGGTCATAATACGAAGGACATAGCGTGGAATGGCGGACCAGTGAATCTTCAATGCGAGTTCGGCTCAGATTTGTGGACTAATGGATATGTGAAGGAAAACGTGATTGCTGTAAAGGCGGTACAGTTTCAAGATAATATCTATGTCATTACACCAAGGTATAATATTGTTTGTATTCAAATTCTTTGGAAACCTATGTATGTGAAAAGATCATTAGGTGGGCGGTTTTTATCAATAACATAATAATTTTTATTTGGTAACTAATCATATTTCTAGCATGACTTAGACTTGTCACATAACCAGTATCCACTACTGCCCCAAATATAGGATCTTCTAGACTAGGTTTAGTCTATAAATAGACTCGATCACCTTTTTCTAGTGACCTAGTGTCATAAACATACCGGTTATTTGCCTAATATCTAATCATATTGCATTATTAGGTACATGTCTTTTTACCACGACATTATATTTAACTATGACGTCAATTCTTCAATTTTAGAGTTCCACAGTAATATTAGGAGTTATCTAGGTCTTATTTTGATATTAATGTTCTAAATTAGGTTTTACCTAAATTGAACAAGTCTAGTAAGTAGTCAATAAACAAAAATAAATAAGTAATGTGTGTACGTTCTTACGTTCATTTATTTTCCAGGAATTTATAAAAATTAATTATGTGTATATATGTTAAATTCTAGTCCGAACCTAAACTAGAATTCCCTGCATTACATGTGTTTATTTCTAGAATGAAGCAAAATGTACTGGCGACTCTTTGGTTGATTATTCGAGACAAAAATGGTGTGGAACTCCAACCTTATCCTGAACTACGCGATCACAAGCTAACTGACTGCAACGCTATACAAAACGCTGTTGATTTCTATTTGGATCATCTTGTAAGTATCATCATCTTTACGCATACATGCGACGGGACAATTAAAAACACATGGGGGCTTTCAGAAATCGTCTATGTCTGCCCCAGGCGAAGGATCTACATAACATAACATCACGCCTTTTATCCTCGAAGGGGTATGCAGAGGTGCACATTATAGCACTGTACAATGTAACACCCACTTTTCACTATGTTATGAGTCCCATGTAATAGGGGGTGAGCCTATTGCCATATACCGGGCATAGTTCCAGACTCCGTGCTACTACTAAGATTTTTTTAAAAACTCAGTAATACTTTGCACGACCCGGGAATCGAAACCGAGACCCCTTGCCCGGCAGTTGCACTTGCGACCACTCGGCCAACGAGGCAGTCGAAGGCAGGCGAAGAATCTTTATGAGGATTTTCCACTCCGATGTCAAAATAGTGGGTCCAACTGTGTCCTTCATTTCACTAAATAAACTACTTACTTACTTATAAACTATAGCTAACAATATCAGTTTGCATTTTGCTATAAAATTGTTTTATATTATTATTCAATTATACCGGAAAGCCTTAAAGCAATATTTTTTCTGATTGTGCTACAACCATTGTAGCTATTATTTAAATTAACATCCGATCGAACTTATTCACTTAGTTATTTGTATACCTAATACTAATAACTAGATCGTCTAACTAAAATTCTATTTTTTATGGGATAAGCCGATAAACGAGCAGACGGATCACCTGATGGTAAGCAATCAATGACGCTCATGGACACCTAAAACACCAGAGACATTACAAGTGCATTACCGGCCTTTTGGGAATTGGGAATTTGAGGATTGTGATTTGATTGATTCGGGGATTGGGGAGACTGGGGAGGGGGGTGATTGGGCCTTCGGTTACCTCACTCACAAGACGAAACACAATGCAAGCGTTGTTTCACGTCGGGTTTCTGTGACGCCGTGGTATCGTCCCGGTTCAGTCGGCCTGTTCGTGCCGAAGCATGGCTCTCCCACATTTTACCTAATTTCCTATTAATCAATATTTTTTCTCTTGATTAAAATATAACAAGAGTCTTTAAATCTCAGTGAGATTATGCCAGACTAATTGTGACCATGAGAATTTTTGGAGTAGCGAGAAATATTAGGATCTGTCTAAACTCTGTAGCATTAATATTCAACTCTTGAATTAATATTTCTCTTTCTTTTATATCGGACACATTCCAGTGACAAGTATTGGACATCTTCAATAACTTCACATCGCAGTTTGGACTGCAGCTTTTTCTCATGAGGAGACCGAACTTGTTGGTAGGAATGTGTTCAGACCTTAATCTATGCAATGTTATAATATATTTTCTACTTATTCTAATGCCAGCACACCAGGGAATACGAGGAGGTTCACTCCGTCCGATAATACCTAAGTTCTTATTTTATCGTTTGTGAAAATACCACAACAAATGTAGATTCTATCTAATTAATAACAAAATCGTCTGCAGTAATAAAAAGACAATTAATGATTTTATAATACATACATTCAGGTCAAATGGTGAACCTCCTTTTTCGTCGAAGTCGTTCGTCGAAATAGCACCCAAAGTTTAAATCGTAATTGCTTCATGAATAAATCAATCAATGCTATGTAATAAATCTTTTATTTGTTAGCAATAGTAAACAAGGTCATTTGCTAAATGTTTCAACCATCGAACTGCCCTTATAGGCCCCTGGCAATTTTGCATAAGTCGATACTTAATTTCTGTCAATGTTGCTGTATCGAATTCGCGAGTTACAAACGAGGCTCTATCGTACACACATCAACAGCCCATGACAGGCCACTAGTGAAATATGGGCCTCCTCTACGAGAGATCTGCCATCTTCATTAGCTTAGCATGTGGGCTAGAGTTTGTAGTCTAGACTAGAGAAACACCACCAAAGATTAATTACAGTATGCTTCCTTATCTGAACTAAGTACATATTTTGTGAACAGGGAAAGCTGTGGATCCTCGACACTGGAGTCATCGATACGCTAAATAATCCAAAATGCACATGCCCTCCAAAAGTCGTCATCATTAATTTACTCTTCGGAAAGTTAGTTAAACGCATCGACATCAGTTCTTCTCATTTGGAAGCGAATTCTTTATTGCAGAATATAGTCGTTGAATACGATATAAGTGGAAACACATTCATGTACGTATATACTTATCCTAATTATTAAGGAATCCATAATATTTCATAAGTTAATTGGTACTTAATTGCAAAAGTATATTTTTATTAGTTACCTAGGCCTAGTTTCTGCAACAATACAATAATAAAAAGTCAAAGAATTTAAATCAAATTGATTTAGAGCTCCACAATAACATACTTTCATAATACAACCAACCTGCACCCGAAGTACCTAACGAATGTATGAACGTACCTACCTATATATCTAGATAATGTCTATGACTCTATACGTTACTAATTGACCTGCCCCCAAATTGAATAAGTGTTTACCTCGAGAAATTAATTAATGGCTTACTTATAAGTAAAATTGTGATATACATTTGAAACTTTTGAAAGTCGTCCTGTCAGATGTCTTGTATCTACCTATTTCGCAATTTTCAGTCGTGCTGTAATTACATCTCACTTGCTGAAATTAATACAAGCAAGCAAACTTGTGAATTGTGAATGTTATTTACAAGTGGATTATCATATTTCATTTATGTTTTTGTAATTATAATGCATCTAGTTCTAGTTAATCTTATTTTGATAGGTACAATTAATTGTATAAGTATCTACTTACACTGACTACACCAGACTAAATACCTAAGTACGTACCTACCTACTTATTTCATTAGCGTGGTGGTCACAGCCGTAGCTATTACAGACGATAAGAGATCACCACCGCCTAAGGACGCGCACAACTCTAGTGTTGCGCGCGTTCATGGAATCACGATCATGTTTTTTATGGGCCGGCAAACTATCAGACGTAGGATCTAATGGTAAGCAATCGACGCTGGCGATGCTCGAAACACTAGATGCATTACAAGTGCGTTGCTGCCCTCATGGGAGTTGAGAATTCGGTGATTGGGGAAACACAAGTGTTTTAAAACTGCATTTTCTGTGGAATAAAATGATAGGTCTGGACTATTATATCTACTATTTACTATACTAAGCTAAGTAGATAGACTAACTGTTAACGCTTTGGCTGGGCAGTTAGCTTCTGCGCAATGGGGCTTGAGATGAGGGATGAAATTCTCGTATGGAACAACTCCTTATGTGATCCGCTAATTGTTGTTCCGGATCTGGATGCCTTAATTTATAGTACCGACGAGAATATGAGCAAACTAAGTATAAAAGAAAGAGAGAAAAGATTATTTAATTCTCCAATTGAGTCCCCTTTCGTGTTCCCCAGATATGCATCAGACGCGTCACGTGGAGCAATTATCGTGCATGAGATGTCATCAGGCGCTGGGTGGTCAGTAATTGCCTGTGGTCCAGCCACTGGCTTACAGATCTCCCTGATCAAGCGGATGGCACACACCGTCTTAGTTGTAGTCAGACTGCACCACCCTGGCATCGTTGAACTAGACACCACAGCACTACGAAGAAGAGATTCGATTGCTCCACTCACAGGTGACCTCATTATAGTGTTTAAGTCTAGATACATGTAGAGTACCTTCGACCAAGAAGTAGGTAACCTTTTTTATTTCCCATTTCATTCATTTCTTCTTTTTATTTTTCGTAGTTTTTGGTGAGCATAGCAAGCCAATAGTGCTGTTGGGTGCAGACAGTTACTACGTGTATCTCCGTCATATTGAGTGCTCAGATGTACTGGTGTGGAACACGCGGGAGCCGTACAACTCATCCCGTCTGGACAACATACACTCAGCCGGCCCTCGGTTGGCTACTACATCGGTAGCTGCGGATCCATTGAAACCCGTGTTACTAATCCTTGACTCAGACTATCTAACTACGCTTCGCGGGAATCCGCCAACATATCATAAAATAACTTTTGTAAATAAAAAATTGCGTTAAAATGAAACTATTTTTTATTATTATTTTTGAGCTTTCTACAGCTATAGTTTATTAGGTATCTAATTATCCAATCGAAAGAAAACAAGTGATTTAGGTGCCTAGCAATCCCTGTAGAAATCCTTGATAAGCTAAATAGTCATTATTTAACTGATTGCACATAGAATTACTTAATTGGCCAATATGATTTGATTGGCATAAATTAGAAAAAAACTGTAACGGTAATTATACTTCTATTGCAGAAATATCTGCACTTAGATAAATGGCTGATAAGATTGAGAGACTGGACACTTAAATAGTAATCTTTACAAGCTACAATAGAGTGGGTAAATAGGTCCACCTATATCCTAATAATAGGCATCCGGAATCAATTTGGTTGTACAGCCTATTACGTGTACAGAGTAACCATTTATCAAGTTAGTTCAAGGTAGGCACCTTTCGAGCGTTGTCTGCCGTTTGACGGGTCTCGATCTAAGTAATACTGTTTTATTGATCAAACAACTTGAGGTGGCAAGGTGACCCAATTATACTAAAACAATATGTTGCAAAAACTAATAAATTAAGCGTTTGATTAGACATTTCTTAATTAATGGATGTTTAGATGAAATGAAACAATCAAACTGTGGACATAACGCTTATATTGTAACATAACATGGTGAAATTAAAATAAACATCTTTAAATTAAAACAACGCATAATACAAATATTCGGAGGTCGGCCCAGACATTGAACATTTTATGTAGTCTAAGTAGATAGTATAATATTATAGATATTTTAACAAGTAAATAAAATTTGGAAAGCTATATTGCAGTACTAATTAAGTAGGTTCATTAGAAAGTTTATTCAGGTAGAAAGTTTCATCAGTTTCAGTTGCGAATCGTGTTTATAACACAAAATAATTTAATAAAGGGGCGTCCCTCCGATCCTATAAATAAATTAATCTGCGATCAAGTTGAGAGCCAGACATTTAAACTTATATTTAATAACATAATCAACTTTCCAATACAACAAAACTAGCGTAATCTTTTAAATTAACCACTTCAGCAAATATCCAGTTACATTTCAGTATTGAATCAGTTTTACGACTACATAATAATTTATTTATTGATCAAAAACTACAAAGGCAGCTTTGAATGTCATTCTATCAAACTTGACGTATCTATTTAATCGTAATCAGTGCTAAAATGTAACTGAAGAATTTCCTAGCAAGTGTATCCTGATAAAGTAATGGATCACAGGTACATCGTTTAGGCCACGTTACAGTACAGGCAGACAGAAGATACCGCACTATGACACACCTGCTAACTACCCAGTTTGGTAAACTCCTCAGTAATGCGATACCTTCGTTATTGATTGTGATACTATAAACAATTGTCTTTTTATTGTTAAATCAATTTCAATACAATAAATTAATAAAAAATCATCACTGTAAAATGCATAAACAAATTCTAAATAATGTGCATTTACGAAAAACTTATTTCCTTATTTACAAAAGTCATTATAATCCAAATTCGAATATCAGTTTAGGTAAATAATAGCAAATCACATCTAAAACATACATAAAACCCACGTCTATGTACAATACTCTGCGAATAGAAAATATTAATTAAATCACAATGATCTCACGTACCTCTTGCAAGTGGCATTAATATGGTAGACATATCCAACACAACACATCTCCCTCCTTCTACATTATCAGTTATCAAGATCAACTTATACATGTAATTTTTCGCTTACACTTATGTATATCGTAATAGCTGTACAAATATTAAACTTTAGTCACAGTGTACACACCATATTGTATTTATTTATGTTCAATTTTAAAATCACAACTTCTCTAGGGCCAAGGCACAAATGTGATTACTTATAACGCCCTCTAGCTACGTTCATATAATTCAAGTTATTGGGTTATCTACAGAGTTGTACGTTACATAGGTACACTATATTACATCAGACGAGAAACAGAAATATACAAGTAAGGGCATGATTGGTCCTATTTGTTCAACAAATATTTTGTTAACTACGAATTTAATATTGTCAATATACTCTGATCTACTATTTAACAAAAAATGTAAGGCCTCATCTCCTGCAAGATTCGATGAAGATAGTAATCCCGATGTAGAGTGCCGAATACAGAAAGTGCCGCTAAACTACAATACTAGCAAAAGTCTACTGAATTAAGCAAGTATTGCGCCAAAGTTTTATAAATTGCCAAGTGCAAGATACCTAAACATGAAAATTTTCAATAATAATCAATCGAATTTATTTTACCTTATAAATCACTTTCGCTTCAATTTAAATATAATTACATAATAATTACAACGTAATCGACATTACGTTAAAATTATTTATTAAATAGTATAATGGCATATTCGCCATGTTCGCTTACGTTGGGATAAGACCTTAACATATACAAACATAGGATAGATTTAGTAGAAGTCATTGGCATATTGGCTGGTTAATTAATTATAATAATAACAATAAAACTTTAAATGAGTATGAATGAACGTCGAGGTTGTAATAAATTAAATTAACTACAGCAACTACATTACAAGCCTCTGTTATAGCGCCCTATTACGAAATTCACAAATTAAATCCATGTACAAATAAAGTGTCAGCTACACGAAATCCTCAGATCTAAGTATGTATAGTAAATAAATAAATAATAAATGTATAAAATATGGTATTCTTCAGACATCATCTGTTGTTCTCATGTGGATATTCGAGTTTTCCAAACAGCAGACTTCTCTCCTGTAAATATGATGTAGAAGATATACATGAAATATGTACATAATAATATTCTACAGTAAGTACTAACAGTAAGTACCCTGACGTCCACGACAGCAAATAGCACATCGCAATACAAGCTAAAGCAGTTAGTATGTACTAACCTGTCCTATGAGATTCCCCAGTAACATGATTAGTGTGTCTAGGAACAATAAACTTCGATTCCTGGAACATCGACAACATCAAATCTTCGGTGGTGGGGTGATATTCGACTTCGTTTATACTAGCAACTAACGGAGAACTCTCATAGTTCCTATTTGTGTCTCTGGTGGTGGGCGTGGCGCCGGAGGACCGAGTCGGGTAGTCCACAGAGCGCGGCCGGCGAGTGTCCACGGGAGTCATCTTAGGGTTGACGTGGACATCTTTGTGAATGTATGGCTCGAGAGAGACGCTCGTTTCGTTTTCGTGTTCGCTGGTGTCGTCAGTGGCGTTGTTCCCGTTGACTTCGAGTAGCAGCGGGCGCTGCAGTGCGGGCGACTGCAGGGCGGCGCTGTTGTGGATGACGGTGACGCACACGGTGTGCTTCACGGGTGACGTCACCTCGCTGACGCTATCGTCGGGAAGACTGGCAACACTTCGCGACAGTGAGGGGCTGTGCGTGAGAGCCGTGATATCAGACTCGGAGTCCGGCTCGTTGGCCGGTGCTTCCACTTTAACTTCTTCAATGACGCTCTCTTCCTTCACCTCAGTTAGTTCGTTTACAGTTTCGGTCGTTCGTTTCACGTATTTTGGCATACGTAACGCCCAATGGCCGTTGTGGTCGTCAGAGGAACATGAATGCGTAACAATTGGCTTTTTGCGCTTATAAAATAGCATATAAGCGGTATTATTTACTAATTCACTGTAAGCATTTTCGTCATCGACTGCGGTCACTTTAGAGTCATCGAATTTGTACCAATGTCCGTCATACGGGTTTTTACAAGCTGCCGTGTAGTGTCCAGTCTCAAGATCATCTCCGTGGTGATAACAAATAGCATAGAGGTCGTACATGTTCTCCTGAGGATTACTCACGGGCGTCTTAGAATGCCTTCGTCTCGGCGACCGCGAGTGGCCGGGCGACTCCGCCATTTGTGTGTTCCTTCTAACAAGATGTGGCGTCATATCAAAATCATTTAAAGGAAACTCTACCATTGCTGTTAACTTTGTGCTCGTACGACCTTTTGCTTGCCTGAAAATATGCATACATTAAGATTTCTTGTTTCTACATATTGTTAAATAATAATTTTGAAAATCATTACACATATTCTACTTACTGTCGAAACCGTTTTAAATGTATTACTAGAATATCTGGTAGAGACCAAAGACCAAGGGTCTTCACCACAGGCATATACCGCTGACACTGAGGACATCTGTACAAAAATTAAAGAGATTGGTTAAGAAGTCAGATTAAATCTGTTACAGAATTCACTATCTGATAACAAGCAATCGGCGCCACCCATGGACACATGCAACATCAGAGCAGTTACAATTGCATTTTTAGGATCGGGGGGAGAAGCGTCATATGGTGAAACACTGTAAGTAATAAAGGTCGTGATGGCGCGAAATAAGTACCTCCAGGCATCTTCCTGCGCGAGATGCTCTGCGCGCGTGTAGTGCGCGAGGCAGGCGTGCAGCGTGAGCGGCGCGGGCTCGGCCGGCGCGGGGCCCGCCGCCGACACGTGCACCTCGCACGCCTCGCCCGCCGAGCGGATGATGCTGGGGACATTACATGGCACTCAATCTCCAGTTTCACTGTACATAACAGGAATGTGTGCATGATTTTGGAGATATAAGGGCAAAGTTACTACGTCACATTTAAAATTATTGCTTCCATGCCCTAGCATGAATTAACCAATACCTACTTCTTTAGCATCTATCACATTCATAGATACGTGAATGTGTCATAAAAGTACTGTGATTAAGAGTAAGTACCGTACTTTACCCCAATAATCTGTAACTTATGATGGGTAACTGCCTCAAAAAATTTCAGAATAATTTATTTAAATAAATAGCTGTCCCGATAAACAATGTCGAATATATTTTAAATATTTTAATTTTTAGTTATTTCTATTTTAAGTTGTATATATTTATTTAATTTAAATTATTTTTAATAATGTAACTTTTAATGTCAAGAACAATTCAAGATATTTTCAATATATGTAATTCTTTTACTGTACTTAGGTACTAGGTCGGACCATTTCCATTGACAAAAGTTGTCATGGAAGTAGAAGTACTACTACATGTTTAGATGCACGTCATATTCATATCTGTGTTCAAGGCCATTCTATAAATGGAATGCGACTGAATTATGGGACGCAGAACAGCTTTCCGTCATGATAAGTGAATTTCCGCTGGATCAAATGTCAAGGGCAATCAATCAGTGTGACATCAAAATGTTGTATGAACTAACTGTATATTGTATTACCGATTTATCAATCACGCCCCTTTTTTCAAATCAATTTTAATAAATCGGATCATTTCCTAAGCGGTAGTTGATTTCAATACTTTTTGTTGGAAATTAAAATACGACAACTTTATCTGTATTTCATATTAATTATTTACGTCCGATCAGTAGTTTTAACATTCACCAGAGATTGATTGCAATATATTTTATGCATTAAAAAGAAACAGTACAGCCAGTCCTTTCCTTTACAACCACCACCAACAATGTAATACACCTTTATAACAATGTCTATAAGAATCATATTTACCTGTCCCTATGTGCAGCGTCCCAGAGAAGTTCGAGTCTAAGATGCGGATGTTTGTCGTGAGCACACAACGCTTGCTCCACATCCAATGAAAACAGCGGATGCGGGAGCTGTGGGAGAAACATACACCAATTACAAAACATTATTGAATAAGGAAGCGATTTTGGTCATCAATATTTACTAATTAAGTCTTCTTAACTAAACTTTCTAGTTGCATTAGTGCAACAAATATGTAGGTTTATGGAACTCAAACCCTTTTGCGGTTCCCATTGCTAAATCGCGTTAAATTACCTCAAAACCACCATAAAAGTCAATTACATGTAAATTGGTGACTGAATGTACTATGAATATTATAGGATTGTGACTTATATCATTATAGGTACCTCAGGTTGTAAATACGCAGGATCTCTAGGACGGTGCGCCTCAGCGATCCTCGCGCGAAAGATTTCGGGCCCTTGTGAGTTTTCCAACACTCGCTCAGCCACAATCTGGCACATCTCCTTCAGCATCAGCTTCTGCAAGTCTTCGTATGAAATCTCACGAGGCACTTGCATAGCGTAAGGTGATCCTGTAAGAATGAAAAATAATAAGGCATAGTGGAAAATAAAACATATTGCCTAGTCATTGAAGAACCAAATTGTTAATAAATACTAACCAAATCTCTCTCCTTCTAATAAATTAACCCATAAAATAAGAAGGTAAGGAGTGGTTGGAGTCTGCAGGAGTGGTGGTGCTTCCATACAGTATAAGGCACCAAAGTCTATGCCCGCTGCCTCCCAACCTGCTCGGGCGTTACACCAACCTGAAATTACATACATATGGACATGATACTTTGCAAAATAATTAAGCTAAGACCAATAAAACTGCCATATTCTTCTCAGAGTTCTTTAAATATTTTGTGTCAAATGTATTCTGAAAACCAGCTCAGAAACTTTAAAATGTAATCAATATTAATGTCGTGCAATATTCCATATATTTACCCATTTCGTTAATTTCTGCCATAATGATATGATCCCTATCAATTCCCGTGTCATTATGTAATGTTGTTCGCAAGTCATCCATAGTCATGTTTGGTGTAAGTTCTACACCAATACGCACTTGTCGTGGCTGCTGGTTCACATATACAACCTGAAATTAAAAGTTCCAATCATATTATCATCACATGTGTTTTTCTCTAAAATGGCATTCAGTATTCTACTTTGTCCTGACTTTTTGTGGCTAGTTCAACACTGACCTGTGATATCATTAGTAAATCACAGTATCAAAAAATTGGAAGGTGCTTCCATATTTTGATTGACTGAAAACCATAGTAAGCCACAATATAAATACATAGTGCATGACATAATTGCAAGCAAGCCTACAAAGACAGTGTGCAAACTGACCCTAATTTGTCATAGTGACATACTTTGAACATAGCTGCAAGCCTATAACTACTGTTGCATACCAATTTCTTATTAAATAAAACTATTGTATAGATAAATTATTCAAATATGCTACACAACACTTACATTGACAGGCAGTGGTGAGGGCTGGGTCGTGGCCAGTCGTGAAGGTAGCTGCACACTCACACAGTGGAACGGGTCAAATGTACATGATGTGCGCTCACATTTTGCACATGTCAGTGCTGACCTGTAGTGATGTTTCAATAGTTAATGATGAAATTGAGCAACACAATACTTTTACAACGGTGAATATAGCTAAGCAATAAAATCTGTGATAAAATAGTTTGATTCAATCAAAAGAACAGAAAGTTAACAACAAGAACACTTTATATAACAGTTCCATACCTGTACTGAGCTTGAAAAACGGCCTGTACAAATGAACTATTTCTCCTGGCATGATTGGCTAATGTTTCAGCTGCTACCACTTCATCAGGCTTGCCACATGTATTCTAAAATCAACCACAAATTAAGTGACAGTACAGACAACATTTTTTAATCCATAAACATCAATGAATTAATGTCTGTTTACCTTAATGGTTTTATATTTTTTCTTAGTAGCTGTATTTAAATCTTCATGAACTTTATCCAATAGCCAAAATAAAAATTCTTGTGCATCATGTTGACTATTGCCCCTATATTGTGTACCATGTCTTTCCACTGCACCCTGTAATATAATAAACTAATTAAACATGAATTCTGGAACATGCAGACATCATTAAAATACTCAGATAACTTCAATATACTTTACATCAGGGTTTATAGTACAAAATTTTATGCTTATAAAGGGAAATAAAAAGAGCCATTACTGTTACATATATTTTTTTTGCAAAGATTAGTCATGATTTATACAACCTTGAACATAATCATAATGAAACTATTTTCAATGCAAACCACCAATCCAAACATATGAATAATTTTATAATATTCTCAGCTACAAGTGAAGCATTATCAAGGATAGATAATTATATAGGCAGAGTGCAAACAAGGTCGAGATTGAAACAGATACTCTCTTTTTGGTTCTATTTATGAATATTCTATTTTTAAATTAATTTAATGTATTTAAATTATATACCTTAAAAGCTGTGCTCATATCAGGGGTGTAATGGCAAGCCCAGAGAGCTTTTAGAATTGCTGCTAGTTGCTCAGTCACTTCACCTCGGGTACCATACTTCTTTGAGTTTATTTTATTTCTTTTTTGTAGATCAACCTGAAAAAAAACAGAGGTGTAATGTACAACATTCGCCAAAATATGTATTACTTAAATTGTTAATCAGAAATTTTACATCACTCACTTTGTAATGGTCCAAAACAAAATATTCGGCAATAACATCAGTATGTGAGAGACACTGCAAGACAGCATTCATGTAGCAAGTGTTGCCATGGTTTTTGATTCCTGTAGCAGCCGGTGTAGAGCCTGGTGGCCATGGAGGATCCCCACTGCAAGGAACTCGCTCCCCGTTCACTAGAGCTGGTGCAGACTTCACCTGTAAACAGTGTAACTATAAATTTTCATTTTACAAGTGACATTCCAATAAGACAATTCTAATTCGAAATTAATATAAAGAAAATATATGTTCTAGCTTGTTTTGACGCCAGTAGGTCTTTCATTTGTTATTAATCAACCAACAATACGCAGATAACGACTGATTCACCATTATACATTGACAATAAAAGTAAATAATAACTTAGTTTCTATTCTCTCGACACTCGAAGTGTATGAATGATCCAGAAATAGAAATATACTTACTCCTGATACATGAACAGTGCTCATATGTTGCGCTATCTTGTTTAAAAATCTTTTCCATGATGGCCTTCTAAACAACTTCCTTTCTATGCCGTTCTCGTCTTTAGGGGCATCTACTATCGTGGAGCTGGCACTTGTTGGCTTGTTTTCACTCTCATTGCTTTTATTCTTACTGGATCCAGGTTTTGTAGTCCCAAATGGATTGCGAGGCAGGGTAAATGTACGTTTTAATCGGGATCCTTCCACCTGCTTCTGTGTCATACTGTTATCGGATACTTCATTAATCAACTCACTCTCTGAACAAGATTTTAAAACCGAAGATAAATTATTGGTAGACATATTAAAGAAACAATCGTTGCAAAATTACATTTATAACATTTTTAACCAAAAAAATCGAATAGAAAACATTGATATGTCACTGACGTAAACGCCATTTTGATTATTTCATGATAAAAAAGTGAAAAATGTACTCGATCTGTCTATGGATATCAGTGCTTGCAATGATTCACATGACTAATATATATAATAAAGAATACCATACAAGAACTTTTCACGAAATCCTTTCCTATACATTCCATACATCATGCAAGTAGACAACTACTACATCTTACATCAAAAATATTGCCGGTGGCCGGGTACTGGTTCTATTGTTATGTTACCAGAACAAGCTTTAGCTTCGTATAAAATCACGTACCTACAGTAACTTTTTGTATACAAGACCTAAGTACTAACCATGCACCAAAAAATCACGTATTCACACGTGATCTTTTTACAAGTTCACGGAATAATCGGAATCCAGAGTTGAATTTGACATCAAGAAAAATCATTTGATGCCATTGCTTATTGCTAGTATAATATCACTTGAAAATAAATAATAACACAGTTCGGTACTTAACAAATAAGGCCAGTAACACACGTCCACGAAAAAAATCTGGTCAATGGAAGTCAATATACATTTTTTTTATTTTGTAACACTGTTTACTTAGTGTCAAAACGGGACAGTTGAACTTGACAATGTCAAATAGTTAATACTATCCAAGGTCTAAGCTGTCAAATCATTTTCATTCATTCATTGAATTGTCACAGTGGAAGGGAGGTTCGGCTCCTGTAGAATGGTTTGTTTCGCGTACGGTTTTATATTGACCTTCAAAAATAGTATCAATTAAATAAATCGTATGTGAGTGTGCCATACCATAACAGTGATCTGCGTATCTGTGAAAATTCCACAATAATAGGATGTATGCGTAATATGCAGGTAAGATTTTTCTCGCAGATTGATTTCTGAGACGAAAATAAAAAGCCACTTAAAAATAGGACTAGGAAAGTAGTAACAGTCGATAGATATAATAGTTTCAATTAATGTTTAACGAGATCTTTCATCAATTGATATGATGCCTGTACGACGCTGTATGTAATGGAAGACAAACCTGAGAAGAGAAGCGAAATATTAATACATTTTTCGGCTTTATAAAATCAATAAATATTACGACAAAAAATTACGCTTAAAAGTTTCTATTAATTCATTTCTTACTCATATATTAATGTATTCGCCATGAAATATACTTCAAATCAGGTAAGTATTTTTAGCTCTGAAAGAATAATTTACTAATTAGAATTGTAAAATTATTTTACAGTCTAATCAGACATAAATAAGACAGTCTTTTAAGTACACATAATTATTATATTGTTCTATCCTTGTAATAATGTAGAATCTTGTCTTTTCAACTGAATGTTTAGATAAAAATAATAATTAAAAAATAAAACTTAAAAGATTAGCTGTAATGATATAGGTATTTTAAGAATATATCAAGTCAATTCTTCTGTAATAAAACTGGACATAAGACTACTACAGGCATATTAATTATTGAAATGTAATGTATCAATAACTACTTATAAGTCATAATTTTAATGTAAAATTATTCAATAACAAACTACTTAGTTAAAAGTGTTTGGAGATAGGATCTAAGACAGGTGTGTAAATATAAATGATTAGATACTGAGAGAAAATATTAATGTTATAAACACTCAATTGAATACCCACAAACTCTTATTTAATTTTTATTGTAGATGACCACCTCCTGACAGAATGTCTGCCTTTGAAAAGCTAAAGCTCCTCATTTGGAAAAATTTTCTTTTACAAAGAAGACACAAATGGCAAACAGCTTTTGAAATTGCATCACCTGTGATATTTTCTTTATTTCTAATTCTAACAAGATGCCTAGTGGACCCAAAAGCAAAACCAGATATAAGTTATCCTCCATTTCTCCCAACATATTTCAACCTAACTGGAAGAAGTTTGTAAGTACATGAAACTTTGCTTAATAATATTCAATTTCAAAGAACAAATCACAGCTTATAAAATCTTAATGTTTTTTTATGCAGAGGCAATCTCACAACAACAAAATCAGGAACTCTAGCATTCTCCCCTGAAAACCCTCTTACTAGAAAGGTAACTAAGGATGCCATTGCAATGGTAGCTGATGATAATTTTAGCATACTTTTTGCTCTTCTATTTGATTCAAATGTTTTACCTCAACCCAAAGGCTACAAAAATGCTAAAGAAATGGAATTAGCTCTTACTCAACCTAATGCAATGAACCAAATTCTTGTTGGAATCCAATTTGATGACAGTATGGCAAGTGAGTACCTAATATTATATTCACAAATCAGATTATGTGTACATGAATGTCTGAGAGTTGATATTCTATATCTACACTAGTAAGTAGATGAATAGAACGAAAGTTCGCAAAAATGCAATTGATAAATATTTACAGATGCTACAGAATGGCCAGATGACATAACTCTAACACTAAGATTCCCAGCTGTGATGAGAACTCCGATGGTGGAGCACCCACTTAGGGCTAGTTGGCGTACGAATTTATTGTATCCGTTGTTCCCGCGCCCTGGTCCCCGTGATCCCGACGACATGTACGGTGGAAAAACACCAGGTGCCATTCATATAAAACCATTTATTCACCTCTCGTTATTCACCCCTACAGAATATAGTAGCTACCTACTTACTTATTCATTCATTTCTTGATTGCTACTTTCCTTATACCTACCTATTTGAATTGATATTGTGATCGTAAAAGTGTGTAGTAAAAATATCTGTCCTAAGCATTATACTCTAAAATAAGTACCGAAGTAGGTGCCTACTGTTACATTAACCTCTATTGTTTACGCAAGTTTTATTACGCAACATACCTATGTGACGTGTGTAGATTCTAGATTACCATAACATTGCAAACTCACTCATTTCAATTTTTTATTAAATACCATTCTATATGCCAACGAAACTGACAAAATTATAGACTATAATGTAAGTTCTTTTTTTTGCGACTTTGACTTTTAAACTATTCGGGTGATTCGCAAAAATAATACTTATTAAAGAATGATACCCGTACAATTTCAAGGCTAAATAAACACATGTTGTGATAAAAACAGCTACCTCACCTTACGAGCGACATTGAATTAGAAATGTGTTGTAAAAAGGCTAAAAATAGGGCCTATAAATTTACAAGCGACTGACGCAAAACCAGGAACTTACTAAGAATTCATAAACGAATCTAAAAATACACGTAAAAGTAATTACATACATACTTAGATGGGAATCCACCACGTAATGTTAGGAGCGAACTGAACTAAGTTTGATCTTTGCGTTTTAGGATATTCGCCAGAAATGTTCTTAGCGGTTCAGCATGCTATATCACAGGAAATTATAAAACAGAAAGCCGGGAAACCGATTGGCACGAAAGTTTACCTACAACGTCTACCTCAACTTGCATACAGGGAAGATCAATTGTTAGTGGCACTTGAAAGATTCATATCAATGATAATCATGCTCTGCTTCGCGTATTCCTTCGTCAACACTGTCAGGGTCGTAACTTTTGAGAAAGAGTTACAGTTGAAGGTAAATATGTCGCTTATAGAATTACAAAGCATTCTACCTACCTAGGTAGGTATTTACTTAAGCAAGCATTAAATGATCGTGATATTGTTTGACAGGAAACTATGACAATAATGGGCCTTCCATCGTGGTTACATTGGTTGGCATGGTTCATCAAACAGTTTTCGTTCCTGCTGATATCTGTTGCCCTTATTGTTATCCTGTTCAAGGTAAGTTCATTGATGCCTGCTATTGGTCCCGTTGGGGGGGAAATTAATATGACCGGGATAACGCTGACCTTACCTTTATTAAATTCTGCACCCACTTCGATTTAAAATAAATCCGTGAGATCTGCTAACCGTTTCAAACTGTATGATACTTCATTTCATGCGTCAATTTAAATTCCGAAAACGTTTGATCGAAAAAAATCCATTCGCTGAAATCGTTATTTATGCATGAAGTATCCACAGACTTGAAAGTAGTTTTATACCGTTATCCCGAAGATAAACTGATAGAATATGTATTCTACTTTATTATTATAAACACATCAGCAAGAGAATAATGAATTGTATGTTTTTAGACACCATTCAACCGGACGCAGGCTGGCGACGGTTATTCTGTACTTACATTTACACCATGGAGCGTCCTTTTTTTCTTTATGATCTTGTTCGTCATCGCCTCATTATCATTTTCTTTTATGGTCAGCGTCTTCTTTTCTCGAGGTAAGCCATTATTACACAAATTACAGATCTGTGTCTTGTAGTCTAATGGTATAGGAGATATTTTGTGTAGTTTGATTTTTATATACGTACTTTCCGTCTATCTAGTAGCCAATAAAATAAACAATAGCTATTAGATATTCCGTATGAATATAGATTTTATCTGTAGTGCGGACGCGTGTTATCGTATAGTAATGCTATTGATGTTTCACAGCCAATACAGCTGCATCGTTTATGGGCCTGGCCTGGTTCGCCGCGTACTCTGTTTACATGTTGACCCAAGTACTTTACGAAGACATAAGTCTGACAACGAAACTGTTATTAAGTCTGATATCAAACACTGCTATGGGATATGCGTTCCAAATTATCATCATGTGTGAAGGAACTTCTAAAGGTAAGTATCGCGAACTTGTTTTGCAATGTTTAATTTTCCACTCCTGAAAATTGCCTTCAATAGTTTAAATGGTGACCGGATAAAATTGTATTATTTTTTGACTTGGATATTACTTAATTCAAAATGTCTGTATGAACAACAAATTGCATACCAAAAGATACTTCCTACATACCAGTACCTCTAGGTACGTCTACGTGCCCCATAGTTAGTCTCGGAATAGCTTTTGGGTCATTTGATTACGTAAATTAGTTGGCAATAAAAAGTGCTAAGTGTAATTTAAGCATTTAAAAATGCTGGTTGTGAAAAAGGTTCAAATTAATTAGTGTATTAAACAGAAATCCAATTAATTTTATGTGTTTGATAAAAAAATATAAAGAAGTAGTAGGTACTTGCACAATATTTGGAATCGCTAAAACAAAGAACTAAATTATTCATTTGGACTTTCGACCGACGCCTACATAAGTACAACTTAAAAGACACAATAGATGAGTAATGTCATCCTAAGCGGTATAAAGTATTTATTTTTCTTTTCCTACGACACATACACTTACATTTTATTTGCTATTATGCTTGACAAACTGCGAATTGCCTATAAAGTTACATATCACCATTTATTTGGCTCTCGACGACTCTTTTTTCCTGCAATATAATAAAATCGTACTTGACAAAAAAGTATTTTGTGTACACATAGAACTATAGAACAGAATAATTTTTATTTTGCAATTCCATAATAATATGTACTAACAGGACCTTTTGTTTGTGCATCGGGCGAAGTATTATCCAGTCTAATCTTTTCTCTGATCGTAGATCGATCTTGACAGAACAATATATTACGTATACATCGATTATTAATTTCGGCTGTAAATTGGTAGTTTAACGTCAGCCAAATTTTCATTTTCATTTACATCAATAATTTGAATACTGAATCTTATTTCAAATTCCAAAAGGTCTACAATGGGACGAGTTCTTCACTCCGATATCATACCAGGATCAACTTCAGCCGGGCCATATAGCTCTAATGCTGATACTCGACTCGATACTCTACATGTTGATAGCGATGTATGTCGAGAAGATAAGGCCAGGGCTCTATGGAGTCCCGTTGCCCTGGTACTTCCCCTTAACGAGGAGCTTTTGGAAACCGAAAAAGCATAAAGTGGCAGGTTTGTAAAACAACTAATATTTTAAGTCATCATCATCACTGAATGATCCTCGATAGTGTTGAAGAGATTCTCTTTATGAAGTGTAGTATCTACTATTCGCCAGTTACGTTATGAGGCCCAATAGGCCCATGTAAATGGGAGCTATCTACTTGCCATACAATTTGAGACTCCGTGCTGCTGATTACTCACTGAAAATTAAATATGACAAACCCAATAACAGCCCGACCCGTCCGTCAAGCTCGAGAACCCTTTACTTGTCAGTCTCACTCATCATGTTATATCTTTCAATATTTATTAGAGGATATGACGTTTACACTTTACTTTTAATAAATATACTGACGTCCGTCTATCAGGCTTGGAATGAATAGAAATAACACACACATAACATGTCTTATATAATTCGTCAGTGTAACGAATCAATAGCGATCTTTACAAAAACCATGCAATCAAGGTCATTGTCATTGCGACTGTACAATGAACATCTCGAATCAAACCGGACCGGTCGACGTTCAAATTATCTGCCATTATAAATCGCATTAGAATTTTAATCGCTCTTATATGATTTATTAAGTACTGAAAGCGCATAATGTGAATGATTGTACTAGGTACTATGATACGATGAATCAAATCGTGAACTTTGGAACTGCATACCTACATCGATGTGTTTCTGACTAAGTTGGTTGTTACTTCGTTATCTTTTACACATTGATATGAATTATAATATATATTTCTGCCCACATACATAACATCCTGAATCAAACCTTGAATTTCCAAAGGATTAGACAGTGGTGCACATTTTACTACATAACTCCCACTTATCAACAGTTTCATGGAATAGGGAGTGGGACTATTAGCGTACACCTACAAGTATCCGTGGTATTACTATTTTTGAAAAGATGATACAATTAATACTTGGCCCACAATGAACCATATAACCGCATGCTCTGTCGTCACAATTGTGGCTATTATACCATCAGGCAATCAATGAATTATATTTCACAGAGATAACTGGAAAAGATTCAAATAATCCGGAGTACAATGATGCTTTATTGAAAGTCGTTCATGACCACGACGAGGAACCGAAAGGCGTGCCAGTGGGCGTCAACATACAGGTAAGTCACGCACGACACGTTACCGGTAAAACAATGTCTTATTAATTATACTGATTATAATGAAGAACGGTAGAACTAAATAAAGTTACCCATACTAATTTACTAATAGATAAGTTACCATTTGCTCCTTAATCAGATCTAGTCACCTAGTTTCAGTAATGATCTAGTCATATAATAAATTGTCAGCTGTCCGTCAATCTACTACAAATAATTAGTTCAAATAAATATAAAAAACTACTCGTAATATATTTGATTCCTTCTACTCGTAGACGTCTGATCAATGAACACATATTATCCTTATTGATCAATTTAATAACGATAAGGGGTAGTACAAACATATACATATACACATAACGAAGGGGACGACTCCATCACTATGTTGTACAAGTTTTACTTAGCTATGGACTGTAGGTATCTCAAAGAAACTCACCGGCCATGACTTTTAGCCTGACCGTATTAAAAAATTCTTTAAGACATTTAGATTTATACTACTGAGCTGTGTGAATAGGTACTAGAGGACTTATGCAGTAAACATCAAAATCGTAAAAGTAAATAAAATTTATTAACACGCTATTTTATTACAACTCTAGTTTATGGACTTGGGCTACAAAAATATTATACGTGAACTTTTGTTTCAGAATTTAACGAAAATATACAAGGGTCGTAAAAAAGTCGTAGACAATTTGAACCTGAGGATGTATGAGAACGAGATCACCGTGTTATTGGGTCACAATGGCGCTGGGAAAACAACCACTATATCCATGCTTACAGGTACTTTCTTACCTTGGCATTTGTCACTAGATGTTTGATACCACAGTCATCCATCAAATATGAATGATTAACATAATTCACTAGAAAGCCTATTCCACCCCCATCTAGGATCGTCATGTTATACTAACCTACATTCGACTTAACTTAAAATATGTATAAATGTAACTTTATAAAATATTCATGTTCCACAACATCGTAGTGTTCGTTCTGTGGACACTCAACCGAAGCAAAAAGGATTTTCCTTAGTTGTTAACTATTACGAAATGAACAAACCTTATAATATTAAGCAAATACTATCTTGCTTCGCGTTCTCATCCAAACAGAACATTTGTAAAGGCTTATAAAAAGAATGTCTCGTGATAACGAGCACTTGGAACTCTCCACTATAATTTTCTACAATTCGGGTCACAGTCGTATGATGTACGAATGAATACTTACATAATCAGGCAAAGATCCGAGAACCAATGGGAAATGGTTGTTCGGTGTTAATGACGTTTTTCGGTTCATCTAAGCGTACCTAAATAGCACTTGCGTGCTAAACAACTGCCCAATTACGTCCACTTAACTGTAATGTAGCTCGTCCTATTAACAACATCAATCATTGAATGAATGTATCTTCGTGTTTGCTCTAACAAACTAATAATGCGTTAGTAGATGCTGTAAATGTTACATAGAATTGTAAGTTTGTCACGATACTTTTCTATCCAGGCATGGTTCCGCCCACATCTGGGAAAGCGTACATCAACGGCTACAATATAGTGACGGAAACTGGTCTAGCGCGCAAGTCACTCGGCATCTGTCCACAACACAACGTACTTTTCCCAGACCTCACGGTCGCGGAACACATCATATTTTATTCACGGCTAAAAGGTGTTCCGAAAAGTAAAATCAAGGACGAAGTAAATCATTTCGTCAAACTCCTTGAATTAGAACAAAAGGTTAGTAAAATGTTGTCATATTGCGTTAATGATTAATGTCACAAGAAATGTAGATATGACGTTAGTGTTTAGTTTTTGCCCCTTAGCTACCTCCGTCCCCGTCTAGTTATAAACACAACAATGACTTGGCAGAAATATGTATGAGATAAATATTTTATGAGGCTAAAGTAGATATTTATCTAGTTTGACGTTGTTCCAGTGAAGTTATTATTAGATATCGAGAAGGTTTTTATATCGGAAGTGCCACCATGGACATATCGAATAGCGACAGTTCAATACTTTGATGCATTAAATTTTCGCACCGTCTGACCTGAAACATTGTAAAAAAGTTTAAAGGACATTGATGTTAAATGTTTTTTGTAGCGAGACGTGACGTCTGACAAGTTGTCAGGCGGTCAGAAGCGGCGTTTGTCTGTTGGGGCTGCAATGTGCGGCAACTCGCGCGTGGTACTGCTGGACGAGCCCACGTCCGGCCTTGACCCCGCCGCGCGCCGCGCATTGTGGGACCTACTGCAGAAAGAAAAGAAAGGTTTGTCCTTCAAAATATACACACACAGTAACATAATCAAAGTTTTGGAACACGGAACATAACTTCAAAAGGATTGGGTCAAGGTTTTCAAACGATTACTTACTTACATAATAAATTATTTGTAGTAACCTCGGCAATGAACGGCTGTATACTTGAGTTCAGACTGAGTCGTGCCGTCTATATTGTTATAAGCTGTTTGAACTAGGATTGTTTTGCTTTCGGACATGTAGAAATATCCAACAACATAGTAAACTCATGTACTTAGAAACAACCTTTAGCCCTAAAGAATCATCTATCTTGTATATTGGTTGGACATTATTGCTGAGTCATAAAATATATTTGTCATATTGGTAAGAAATGACGTGGCTTCGAAATTGGTTTATGATATTAACTCATCCATTTTATGGTGGCTGGTAGGTATTGTATGCAATGGATTTCAAGAGGAAAACAACAATTGTGATCCTTAAATTCTCGGAATGTATATAGATACTATGTATTGCTCCGTAGGCACCTATGAAATCCTAGTCGGGCCAACTGTTTTTGCAATAATATCATATGTCATAAGCCTATTGCTATCTTTAAGTAACAATTTTTGGTAATTGAAACAATTTATAACGCAAGAAGTACTACATATATTTTCTGAGTAATTTTCCAAAATAAATACATACATGTCAAGTCTATACAACACGTAATTGCTATGCAAATTAAATTAATTCATCATTTAAAGTTATTGTCCTTGAAAATAAAAACAATTACTTGATTGTTTATTAAAGTTGGAAGAAAATAACATTTAAGTATTTCTAAGTTAAAAATGAGTCATATTTAAATGAAACATGCAATGTCAATTTGGTTTTTCTCCTTTTGCACCATTTATGAGCGTAGTGTTATCATTTTTATGTCATTCACCTGTAGACACATAAATATTCAAATTATATTCTTATTTTAGATTTGTCTCTTTTTAGCAAAATTTTCTATATCTTGTTTTGAACTGCACTATTATGTTTTTATTTAGGAAAGTTTTTATTTATAACTATACGCCTTTATTCCCCAAAGGGGAAAGTAGAGTCTGATACCAGGGGCTTTAGTATCTTTATCGAGATCAAAGCGAGACTGTGTTCAGCGCTGTTATTGGTTGGGTTCATTGGAGCTGGCCAATCAGAGCGCCGATCGCGTTTCGATCTTGGTAAACGTAAAATAAACTCGTACTGAGCCCTCAAATATTATTTACAGGGAACGAATAACTACTGGGCATAAGTCCAGACTCCGTACTATTGTTCAGAAGAACTGAAATCCTCTGTAAATAGTTCACTCGATCCAACAAGCGAATACGAAACAGAGCTAGTCAAAACTACATAAAAAATATATATATTCACAGGTCGCACAATGATACTGACTACACATTTCATGGACGAAGCCGATGTACTCGGTGATAGAATAGCAATCATGTCTGGGGGCCAACTACAGTGTGTAGGGACCCCTTACTTCCTCAAGAAACATTACGGCATCGGCTACAAAATAACTATCGTTAAAGGAGAAAACTGCATACCTGATGAAGTCACAAAGTTCTTCAAAACTTACGTGCCAGATATTAAGGAGAATACTAATATAGGTAAGAAATATATTGTGGCACATATGTTTTCTAAGAACGTCTGAAATCGATTATTTTTTGATGCTAAGCATTGTAAATAACAATATTCAATCCGTCATTTAAAAGTCTATAGTTTCAACAATGACGGGTCAAAGACCGTGTTATGTCTATCTACTTTTCAAGGTTAAAGATTTTGCTCTAAAACTAATTAGCATTTACTTCCAGGTTCGGAATTAACATACATCTTGCCTAGTGACAATGTTAGTAAATTTCCGGAGATGCTCAAAGAATTTGAAGAGAAAAAGGAATCTTTGTGTGTATCTAGTTATGGACTCTCAGTTACCAGCTTAGAGGAGGTTTTTATGAAGTAAGTTTTATTTATACATAGAATTTTAAGTAATTGGTTTTTTGCGATTTGTTTTTTATTTTTAATATAAAAATGTGCAATTATAGGGCAGGCGCAGAAGATCTAGAAAGTTCGTCAGCGAAAAGTAAAAACCATACCAATTCTGGACCTTACAACGAATGCGCAATCGCACCTCTAGCCAACAACATTCGTTAGTATAACAATCTCGGAGTTTTTCGGCCGTTAACTCGCCAAGAAATTAATTCATCTTTTTATTTACAGCGGATAATGAACCTATACAAAAAGTGCGCGGATTCAAACTTTTGCGGAATCACATAAAGGCAATGTTTTTGAAACTGGCTTATAACACGATGAGGAACAAACTGACTGCCTTAATACAGTTCGTGACGCCTATAATTAATATCACAATATCAGTAGTGATAGCTAGGTCTTGGAAATTTTTGTCTCAATTGCCACCGTTGACCTTAAGTCTTGAAAGTGGGTTTGCAAAGACAGAAACTTTAATGTCCCAAGTAAACTTAACAGATGGTAGTATCGAAGCCAAAGCTATGATGGCGTATAAGGATTACTTTAAAACTTCTACGTACCCAGGAATGTCACTAAACGATTTAGGCACCAGTAATTTAGGGAAATTCTATTTAAAACTGGTAAGTCTAAAACATTAAGTAACTTCTTCTATATTTACTGTCAATATGTTGCTTATTTAAAGAAAATATCTGTTTTAGAGCGCAGATGATCTCTCAAGGGTAAGAAATGAAATTCCCATTGGTGCTACGTTTGGTGCGCGCAATATAACAGCTTGGTTCAGTAACTACGGATACCATGACTCAGCGATATCTTTGGCGCATGTCAATAATGCAATCATGAAAGCTATGTCGCCTGGAAGCAACTTGAGAATTATCAACTACCCATTGCCATATTCCATTGAAAATTTGGTAAGTATATTTCGGAATTACACTTTATATCATCGTACATAGAGTCGATCTGTGTGCAATATTATAAGTTAGAATATGGTTAAGACTCAGTGCCGACCCTATCCCTGTTTATTTCGGAAAAGGCCAGTAAAAGACGAGAAGTTCATCCGATATTCAAAATTAGACTCTATTGCAACAGAATAAAGTCTGACAAATTAGTCTAAGATATGAATAATAATAATTATAGAAGCATCTATAACCGTAAGAATCAACTCGCAGACAGTTTAAATTGTCCATATAAATACAACGAACCATTCAATTGAATGGAATTAGGACAAAGTTTAACAAGACGCTAGAGTTCTATTGTGTCTAATAGCACTTTGTGTAATCATATATGTATTGATTGATTATTCATCGTCTTTTTCCACTTGCTAGAAGTCGATTAGTTTTGATTAAAATCAGGCCATTTCTATTGAGTTCTCTGTAATACATGAAAAAGGTTTTCAATAACAAAATCACATTTTTTTTATTCCCTGAAGTGGTAGCCAGAGTTGCACATAACTATAATTCTCACGGTTTCAAGAAAAATATGTTGCCTATATTACTCTCACAGACACAAAAATAATGGCTTATGAATGTTCACTTGCGATGTGAAAGAACAGACAAACAGATAGACAAACATTACAATACGCATTTACAATACATGTTATGAATATATAAGGGGTGCGCAAAACAAAAAACTTAAGATTACAGTGATCAAAAAACGAGATAATATTTTGAAACGTAATTATGTAGAAATTTAATTAAACATCTTAACTGGCAATTGTACTTCAGTCAAGGATTTTTGGTACCTATGTCCATCTCTGTCACATATTAACTAGTTCTACCTAGGTACTTATGTTTTATAGTCCATTGTTTTATTTAAACGTATGTGTCATCTTTTAGTTCGCATTTTATTCCAGTCTTAAGTGTATAAAGTACAGAATATTGTTAGATAATAAAAATTATATGAATATCTGTAAAAAAAAGGTTAAAACAGTCTTAATTAATTATATCTCTGGTCCAAATGCAATGGTATTGTGGTTATTTTTTGGGATAGTTAAACAAAAGAGATCGTTCGATTGTAAGCAATCGGTGCCGCTCACGTAAACGTTTTGCAAGTTAGTGATATGGGGAAGATTATACCTCTGCTAACCTAACTCACGGCGAAACACAACTCGGCTTTTTAAGAGGCCCTGGTATCATATTTTGCCAGCGTATTACTAATCAGAAGTGTACAGGACTTAAACAATTAATTTCAGGTGAAGGTCATGGCTTCCGGCAGCAGTATGGGATTCCAGTTCGCATTCAACATCGGCTTTTGTATGGCTTTCGTCACCGCTTTCTTAGTACTCTTCGTTATTAAGGTAATATTTATTATTGATTTATTAACTACCTAACATTACTTATGTAATTTAATTAAGTTAAACTGACTGGACTCCGTAAAGGTCAAAGTAACGATCAATGAAGTCTTAAGTTATTAGGTTTTATAACTACATACATATGTATATTGTATATCCAAATATACAAACGAAAATAAATGTTTTGGTTAAGAACGTTTGTTTTTGTTTTCTTGCAACTCATATGCAAATTAAAAAAAAACCCTTAATACATTCTACATTTAATAATTATATCGACTTGCTACGCGTTCAAATTTTCACTTTCTCGCGTATTTTCGGGTCCCTAAATGGAACATCACTATTTGCAAGTTTATGAGCCCAATGTAATCCCGTAATAAACTACGTTAATTATTATTGCGTACTGAAACGCAATGCGACTAAAATATTCAGTTAAAAGAAACATACTACGTCTTTGTTCGTTTCGAGATCGCGTGCGTCGAAGGCTTTTTATAACAAAACAAAAAAGATGTTCCGCCTGGTCCGTGTCTGAATGAAGGAACATTTTAAATGAGTCTTATATCTTAATTATTATTCATTCATTTAAAGTTTAAATGAATGCGTAATTAATAATATACTCCTTTCTTTTCTAATATAAATCTACTTTCGGCAGACCGTGGTATGAACTTTCCGAATGTTACTTACTGCTGTAATAAACCCATAAATCCAAAACTTATACAGTCAAGTCCAGTTTGCGGCCTCAGTACTTAAAATTTTCGAATACCTAAACTCCCTGTCAATAGTTGGCATTGATCACTTACAGTCAGGTGATCCATCTACTTACTTCCTAAATGTTGAAGTAAATCTATCTTTGGCTATTCAATAATCTATATCTGTCCTGTACCAGGAGCGTATAAGCGGCGCGAAGCTTCTTCAACGTGTGTCAGGCGTGCGCCCCGCAGTCATGTGGACGACTGCACTTATTTGGGACTGGTTCTGGCTGTTCCTCGTCTACCTCTGTATTATACTCACCCTCGCTTGCTTTCAAGAAAGCACTTTATCTTCACCTGCTGAACTAGGTACGTTAAATTACATTAATGAAAATATGAATAATCTAAATTCGTTGTTTGATGCTTAAAATTCGCATATTCCAGGCAGGGTCCTTCTAGTCCTAATGGTGTTCTCAATAGCCACTATACCACTACACTACCTCGCATCATTCTACTTCGAAGCAGCTGCTACTGGCTTCTCGAAAATGTGTTTCATGAATATATTTACGGGTAAGTATTTCAATTACTCAGATATTTATTTATTTACGAATACATAAACAGCTTATTTGAATTGAGTTTACACGGTATTATCATAATTCCGATTTGATATCATTCTTGTATTGCGGGAATGGCACAATATCACAAGCTGTGAATATTAGATCGAATAATAAACCCATTGTTTTTGTTTCATCAGGTTGCATGCCATTTTTAATCATCGAATTATTGAGATTACCTGAAGTAGGCAGTCCGTTTTACGCTCATCTGTTCGACTGGATTTTTTCTCCGTTGCCTATTTACTGCATCAGTAGAAGTTTCAGGTAAATACTCATACTTATTGGATTTTATGTCGGTACCAAAAACTATGACACGCTTTTCACGCTGTAGTCAGAGTAATGTGGAATATTTTAGTTGCTGTAAGTTTTACAATGACAAACATAACTACACACTATTGTATTGCCTGAATGGTATCGCTTGACCTTGACAATTCAATCTAATAATTTACCTAGATTCAGGAAAGATTATATCAAGGCCGGGGAGTAATTTTACGATAATTCTAATTTGTCCCTTTTTGATTAGATTTAAATTCCCTTCCCGTACATTTTTGATCTATAAAACCAGGCTAATAATCTCTAAGCAGTAATATCAATAAACGACGTAGTAATCTTTATACGGCCAAGTGTCTGTCTTGTTTATGAGCTCCTACCGTAGCTTGAAACTGGTCGAGTAATTCGTCAAACAGTTACATGAGAAAGCAGTAAAACAAATAGAATAATATGTCCTAACTTTATAGGGACATGAGTGTATCATCGTTCTCAATGATGGCATGCGATGGTCTCTGCGACCAATTGAAGATTGACAACTGTACGCGTCACACAATCTGCAAGCAGCTGAAACTCTCCGTGTGTTGTAGTAAGTGAGTCTTGTGGTGCGTGTTTGTACTGTACTTCTGTATGCTTACTGTGCTTCTAGACTCTTCTGTAGTAGTGTCTGCTTCGACTCTGAATGCTGCGAAACTTTTTATGTATTAGCTTTACTAACTGGTTAATACAAGATGATGTTTTGTCGTGCCTGTCGTAGATCGCCAATAATTATATTACTGTTTCTATTCTACTAAGCTGAAATATTTTTACTAAATTATTTAGAACATAATTATTACTATAGGTACAAGCACGATCGACTATATATATTTTATATATGTACGCAGAAAGAGCGCCAGCTGTGAATTACGCTGCTGAATAATAGTAAATTAAAACGACATGTCATTTACAGTTATCGGAATATTGATTTCATTACAAATTATGCTTAATTGATGTGTTTTAATTCTGTGAAATTATTGAGTTTAATAACAAAAGGTTTCATATTTTCCAGTTGAAGATGATCCGTACATGAGATGGGAAGAGCCGGGCATTGGAAGATATCTGTTCATGATGAGCATGGTTGGAATCTTATCGTTCATTATATTGCTCATTAAGGAATACGAGCTTTTGAACAAGGTACCTACCTTCTTTAAATTACTAATACTCAAAAACTAATGGTCACGACGTGTTCCAAGAACCACAACTTGCTGGTCTACAGTCTACATAAAAATCACACTGTCTAAGTGTCATAAAAATCACACTTAGACAGTGATTTTTATACAGAATTTGTGTTCATTATCAAGCGTAATTGGTAAAATTAATGATTATTCCTGTTTAATATAATACTTTCTATTTCACAAGGTATTCTACTCTTCAAGCAACCAGCCAACTCCGGCGGTAGGCAAAGGGGATGATGATGTAGAAACAGAACGTCGCAGAGTCCAAGAGTTTACAAGACCCCAAGTAGCCCAGCAAAGTCTCGTATGCAGAGACCTTACTAAATTCTACAAACATTTCCTTGCTGTCAACAGACTTACTTTTGGTAAGCAAATACATTTTAATCAATTTATTAATCTATTCGATATTTTAAGTAACACTCTCTTGCGCAAACGTTTGCGCAAAGATGGTGTTTGTTGCGCAGACTACTTTTTTCAAAACAAATTGAAGTCGATAATTATATTTAAGCCGTTTAGTCTTAAATCTTAAAGCTAAAATATAATCTTACCTTTGTTTTGTTTCTCTAGCCGTGAACAAGGGAGAGTGCTTTGGGCTACTGGGTATAAACGGTGCGGGCAAAACCACAACGTTCCGTATGTTGACTGGCGACGCCCACATCTCTGGCGGTGACGCATACGTACACGGAATGTCCATCAAAACGCATCTACAAGACGTCTATAGACATATTGGTGAGTTATTACTGTTAATTTTACCTTAATAACAATTTCCTCGTATGCTAATTATACCTAAACTAATAATGGTGTAAATGCCTTGGGATATTCTTGCAGGTTACTGCCCGCAGTTTGATGCCTTGTTTGAAAACCTCACGGGTCGCGAAACATTGCGGATATTCTGTTTACTGCGCGGCATACCGTCTGCTGTCGGTAATGCCCGAGCGTTACATCTTGCCACTTCACTCGGATTCTTGAGGCATTACGATAAAAAGGTAAACATTTCATTTGGAATGGTTACATAGGTTACATGTTACACGTGAGACCCATCCCAGATATTTGGAATATAATGAACAAACTTCTGTTTAGGTATTTGCATGTAGCGGAGGGACTAAAAGAAAAATTAGCACAGCAGTGGCATTACTTGGTGATGCACCATTAGTGTTCCTCGATGAGCCGACTACAGGTAATGTATAAGATCATACATAATTTGTGCATCAATTTCCTGCCCTCTCCCAATAGGGCCTACCGTCTTTTTGCGCACCAGATGGAGCTAGTGTGAACCTCTCGTTCTTTGCCCAATAGGGAATTAGCTAACTAGCCATTGGACGTTCAATATTTGACAGCTGCTGTAACTGGATAAAAATACTCTTTCCTACTTTTGCGCCATCTGGTGGACAAAAAAACGTTAGCCCCCATTAACTTGAGTTTAGGTTGATGGTGATCTCTTCCATTGTTCTCTATCGAACTTTGCGAAATTATATCCTTTTGACCTTTTGCTCTTAAACTTAAATACGTATAATCATATATTAGTACGATTTAAGAGTAGGCGCTCCCCGCCTGACAGGTGCGCATTTTAACATTCAATAAAAATTATAAACGAATATTTGATATTCTCAGGTATGGATCCCGCATCGAAGCGACTAGTATGGACGTGTATAAGCGAGGCAGTGATAGCGGGGCGCAGTATAGTGCTGACGTCACACAGTATGGAGGAGTGCGAAGCTCTGTGCTCGCGACTCACTGTCATGGTCAACGGACAGTTCTACTGCCTCGGACCTCTACAGCATTTGAAAAATAAGTTCTCACAAGGTAATTACAGAATCGAATACGTTAATATCTCATACAAAATTTACGTTCTTGTACGTTTATTGTAAAAAATACTTCTACTATTGTACTTATGCAGTTCTTTAATTTCAGGATACACATTAATAGTTAAATGTAAATCTGGCGTAGACAGGGATAATGACGTGATCAAGATCAAAAATTATATTATCGACAACTTTAATGATTCGAGACTTATGTAAGTATCTTAATCACTGGTTAATATAAAAGTCAATTCTTTTTACACTTAGTTGGTATAGACTTCACTTTATTATTATTCTTTTCCAGCGAGTCATATCTGGGTATTAGCACATTCTATATCAACGATGCTGGATTGCCATGGTGGCGAATATTCGATATTATGGAAGAAGCGCGGAAACAGTTCCCAATAGAGGACTACTCCGTAGCACAGACTACGCTAGAACAGGTATTCCTACAATTTACAAGAATGCAGGGCAACACAGAGGCTTAAGCCCTCAAGGGAATATTAATTTAAGCGTTAGGTTCAGGGTAAACTACAAGACAAAAGATCTGAATCGAATTATTGCGCGCTTAATCGACAATAGATTTTTTAAGTTTTTGAAGGACAAACTCAATATTAACGTCTCGATTTTTATATAAAAACTCTTAGACTAGTGTCGTTTACAACTGATAATTTTTTACTTTTTCATATACTCAGCATGAACTTTGTAATATTTTCATCTATAGTCGACAAGATATTTTGTAAGATCGAAAGGTAAATACGGACATTGAGACTCAATAGTACTTAACGATGAATAATACAAATAGTTATTACGACTCCATTTTGAATGTTCAATATTTTATATGAGAAAATTAACTTAAGATAATTATAGTTACAATTGTACCGTTAAATGTTGTTGTTGATGTGTTTGGATGTGTATTTAATGCATAGAATATAGTCTACGCGACGTAAGTTCTACTTGTAAAATACGAGCTCTCATAGTTTGCCGCAAAACGTTACATAATTCACACGCATCTGCTTAAGATCATTAAGCATTTTATTCGGAATGTAACGGCAAACATTGTACTTAAAAGTGTTCTTCTCTTTTGGAAGAAACTAATACTTTCACTAAAGCTTCGTGCTATTTTTTAATCTCATAGTCATGCCTCAAATGTTCGTAGAATTATCATCGAGTAAACGTAAGTCATTGACCACACCATTCCAGTTTTCGTACAATAGAAACGTTAGAAATAAATGTTTTGTCTCAAAATACTCCCAACCTCTGATAATGATCTGTTAATATTTAAGTTAATAAATATCGAATATACATTTTATGTACAACTGTGTACAACTTAGATTACGTCTTAAATGAAAGCACCATAAATTATCGCATTCATTTCGTATCGTAATTTGCCGGTTTTTCATAAGTGATGTGTGATTTTATATGTTAAAATTTAGTTAACTAAAGATGGTTCTTTGTTCTGATTTGGAACCCAAACTATGCACTATTTCATTATAAGGTGCCTGTTAAGTACTTATTTTAGTGAGATATAATTAATATTATGGTGCTTGTCCTATTAGGAGAGTAAATAGGTCGTATGATGGCCTTTTTGGCAGCTGCAGAAATAAATTGTGTCTCATATAACAATATTTTACCATTTCCTATGTTTTTTTTTTTCATTTCTGTATTCTAGGTAACATTTTAATACCAAAGGAAATTTCAATGAACTTGAAAGATTTAAAGTAACTTTTATAACTGTTGTGTTACAAAATGTATTATCTAACAACTTGCCACTTTGTTTATTAATTTTGTATCTTCTAAGAAAATCTATTTATATTCTTGTCACAATCTTATTGTACCTATTTAAGGTAGTTAACAGTATCAGTAATATTATATGTACCGCAATGACTTGAATTAATCTATTAAAGTGATGGCCTAAATTATCAACTGACAAAAAATGGCGAATTTGCGCCAAATTATGTTCTATTTTCAATAATTATAATCTTTTCTTAAGATCTGAAACATGTCCGTAGAATTAATAATTGATAATACAAAATGAAAATAATACAAGTACAAATAGTAATCACAGTTGTGCGTGTTTAATTACAACGTATGTGTTTCTTATTGTGCGGCGCATCGGCAAATGTTCGGGGATAGTGCAAATCCGCCAAACTACTATACGTAAAGGCCGCGTATCTGCAATAGATCTAGTTTTATAGAAGAGGGTTAAAACTTATTAATTCAATGAATTTGAATCTCATTTTTCCATATAAAAAATGAGTCAAAATGAACTCGTGTCAAGGCTTTTTCTGCGAAAACTTACATTAGCTACATTTGTCAGATACGCGGAATTATCGAAAGCTAGTTCCGCAGATTTACACTATGCCCGACAAAATGTAAACGCACCACAAAATTTCAATCTTGACCACAGTTGATTGATTGATATTGTCACGGAATATTTTATATTCCGTGACAATATTCTATATTCCGTGGATATTGTATTGAAAGATTTGATGTTCACGTTACGACTATGCATGTGATACATTATTTTGTATGTGTGCTCTCTTATTTACGGAGTATACAATATAAATAGCTTCTTTATTGTATTAATAAATGCAGATCTGCATCATTAATGTCAGCTGAGAGCTGAACGGTTATATTTAAGAAGTTGTATAAATGTGAATTTGTGTGATATCATTTGTGATCTATTGTAATTAATTGTGTTAATTATTGCCATTAGCAAAATATATATTATTATTTAAGGATACGCCCTGTGCTACTGATACATCTGATGCCATTTATAATCAGGGCTTAGTTTAATTTTATTAGTACAAGTTCCTTTGAACATCCAAGTATTATTGAAACGAATATTTTTTTATAAAATAGACGGTAGAACTCATGTGCAGCTTGAAATGCTACTTAATTATTACGCTTGAACAGTATACATAACTTAATTTATGCAACATTCTGGCTTTAAATTGTATTGCTATTCCTCTCGATGTATATTATATATCATAAGGCGGTGTTTGTATTGTGTAGTGTTTATAGACAATTTTTAATAAAACTAAGGATATTTTATCAGAATTTGTTTTATTATAACAATCTGACTTACCTCAATGAATGGTGTTACTGTTGTTCTTTTTAACGACACCAGACAGACAGGGAATTTCATGATCGTGAAATGTATTTCAACAGTTATCTTATAGTCCTATGTGATATTCCAGGTTCCATATCATTACCTACTTGGATATTTCCGAAAAAGCAAAGTATTGTTGCTTTGCCCAACCCGGAAATCGAATTCTTGTGTTTCAAGCACTAAACCAACGAAACAGTAATTTTTAACTATCGTGAGACATACTAAATTAACTTAAAATCGCGGGTTACTCACGTAGACTAGGTACTACACGTGAAACAGTAATTATTTACTTTGAACTGCATAGTATTCCTATCAACTCTTATCTAGCAACAAAGTTTACACGCTGCCTAGTACACACACGCTCACTACACACCAAATATTATAATTGCACTGTTAGTTCTTATAGTGCTACTTTTGGGAACATTGAGCATTAATTAAAAAAAACTGACTGCCTCGTTGGCCGAGTGGTCGCAATTGCGACTGCCGGGTAAGGGGTCTCGGGTTCGATTCCCGGGTCGGGCAAGCATTATTGGTTTTTTAAAAAAATATTCTCAGTAGTAGCACGGAGTCTGGAACTGTGCCCGGTATATGGCAATAGGCTCACCCCCTATTAGGTACATGGGACTCATAACATAAATAGTGAAAAGTGGGTGTTACATTGTACAGTGGTATAATGTGCACCTCTGCCTACCCCTTCGAGGATAAAAGGCGTGATGTCATGTTTATGTGTTTTGTGATAAAAAAAAACAGCAGTGTTATTATACAGAACTTATTTGAAACTTCTTGCTACGCCGTAGCAACGGCTACGGGCTACGATATCATGCTACAAATATAAAAAAACGCTAATGCGTACTTATGTCCGCATTATTATCAGAGGACATAGGTAATTATAAATCAGTAATGATTAAAGACATCGTAGGTATAATCCGTACATATTTATTTATTGTATTATTATTTTATCTAACCATCTATTTGATCACAAATACGTTACAAATATAATTATTAACATTAACTAAAACAAAATGGTTACACACATCACAAATACTTTTTCTAAAGTACTACAGATTTTTGGTATGAAAGTAAAAAAGTTTAATCAAATAAATAACAATTTTCATATTAGGTACATACATACACATTATTATTATTTACATCAACTTAACGCAAAATTAGGCGCAAGACAAGCGCTTGAGCATATTTTGTATACAACATGTAAGTTTTTTTTACTAAGAAATTCTTTAATATAATGATTTTGTAGGTACACTCACTGGTACGGTAGAACAATAAAATCAGTTCAAATAGCCTCGTTTCATTTCTCTTTCGTAAATATGGAAAAGAGGTCATGGAATGTCATTAAAATTACAACTAATATACATTTATTTACTCGTAAATCAGATACATCCAAGACTTGCCACTGTAACTTGTACATTATATAAATATTTATAAAATAATCGTGACAAGCAATCGGTCTCTCCAGTAGACCTCTTCTATAATGTCACTTTTAGAGGATATAAATGTCCTCTAAAACACTAGGTACTACTTTGACAACGAAATTAATTTATCTAACTATGTTTTTGGGTTCCCAGCCCAAATACAAAAAGATTATTTGGGAAAATATTTCTTGTATACAAGCAGAAACAAATTTATTGTTATTAAATTTAGCACTTCAACGTCTAGAACTACAGTAAAACGTCAATAACGAATTTACTACAATTTTATCGACTAGAGCGAGACTCACCTGTGACGTCAGACTGGTACAGAAGTGACATCGCACTGCATGTATTCTAATACATGAAACTATGTGCACTCACACATTATATTACAAGAGAGCATTTCCCCGAATCTTTCGATCCCAAATGTGGGATGTATAGCGAATTATCTCTAAACAACGACATTGTTCACTATAGTAATTCGTATGCTTGTCGCTGGTACTTGGTAAACTGTAGGAATATTTGTTCTAGTGTGGTCTGTGAGATACTGTAGTCTTCGATCTCCAAGTCCCTCTTAGCGCGCTCCATGATGCCGAACATCCGTGACCACGCCATGCTACGGTCTGGAAGGTAGTATGTCAGGAGACCTTGGTATTGCTCCCTGTAAAACATATTATTTAAATCAATGGTTGTATAAAAATAATTATAAAACAAAAAACTCGAATATATTGTGTCCTAATTGGATATTTCTGATTTCGTAGCAACGTAGGCCGGCGTAGCATTTTGCTACAAGATTGGCATTTGCTCAAAAGTATTTGCCATTGATTGTTTTATTTTGATATTTTGTACAAAATGGTTGCGTTTAGAATATCTGAAATATAGGTGGATCAAAATATAAACCAATTAGATGTACTTACATGATACGTGGATTCCGGAAATTTTGAGTAATGAATTCTTTGACGGCGTCCACTACACTACGTGAGCTGTGTATCGAAGCAGTGTCATTGTCTCTGTCTTCCATTTTCAATTTAATAATTAACGTGAATCCTGAAATTGATTTATGTAAAATATGGGCATATTAATAAATTGTGTCTCAAAATCATGTGATAAACGAAAAATACATAGGTAAAAATAAATGCGTCATCATCAGCATTATTTTCAAAGTCCTGATCTAGTTTTACCAGGTGGTGTTGATAAGCAATCGAAAATTGATACTTAAACATCGAGAAAGACTTATGTAAGTTTAGAGATAAGTGTGATATCTCTTTAGCTATTAATTGATAAGGATTGATCTCGTACCTTCGGAAAATTTGTTCTTAAGATGTTGTGGTGTGCCGAAACACTGGAATTTTCCGTTGACCATGATAGTGAGCCGTGAGCAAAGAGCTTCGCACTCCTCCATACTGTGTGACGTCAGCACTACGCCGCGGCCAGCACGTTGTACGCCACGCGTTGCTCGCCATACCTATGTAAAGTAACATAATAATAAATATTGTAATGCTTCCAATTAGAAACAGCACTATGCACATCATAAAAACTACGCAGCGTAAAAATTACGGATCAAAAAGACTTCCTGAGAAGTGATTCCTGATTACTTTGTTAGGACAGAGAAAACAATGCCCTTATATGCAGTACCCATTACATTATAAGTATGAATACATAAATACTCACATGTCGTTTAGCGGCAGGATCTACTCCAGTGGTTGGCTCATCTACGAACACAAGACGTGTTCGACCCAAGAATGCTATTGCCGTGTTCAACTTTCTTTTCGTTCCTCCTGAATATTGATTTACCTGTAATGGTGAAAAGGAAGTACCTACTTAGTTACTGATGTATTATAATGTATATCGCTAAATAACAAATAAGTATCTAGGTAAGGTTATCTGTCTTTGTCTTATCTCGGCTTAAAAATTAGGGACATCTACTTAATTGAGTTTTTATAAAAACAAAAATAAAAAATTATAATCAGGTCGTGACAATCGGCTACTGCAGGATTGACTTTTGATGCGTCTTCTACATAATTATAAGAGATGAGTTCGCAGGTCGCAGTTTAAAAGATTTAAGGTTATCTTTGAATAATTATGTAATTTACCCTTTTGTCAAGATGTTTGAGGAAACCGAGTGCATGTGCCAATGTTTCAGCAGTTGGTGCAGCACTGCGTAGACGCAGACCCTTCATCATAGCAAACATATGCAGCGTCTCACGACCCGTGAGTTCACCAAACAAAGCATCGAACTGGGGACAGTAACCTGCAACAAAGCATAAGTACACATAGGTATTAAGGTGGAATATGAATTAAGATTATTGATGTTGGCCAATGAAATCGTAAAAAAAAAATTTTTTTGGGTATTGTATATTGTTCATAGGTATGTATACTAACCGATATTCTGGTGTACTTTGCCAAGACTTTTCTCCACAGAATGTCCACTAACAAACGCTTCGCCGCTTGAGATAGACTCGTCCCCCATTAACATCTTAAAGGTGGTGGTCTTACCGGCACCGTTCACACCCAATAAACCGAAACATTCGCCGTCGTTAACGCCTAAAACCAAACAAACATTAATTAAACTTCACAACGTAATTAAATGAATAAGTTACGAAGGAAAAGCATTTACTTCACACCTAGCATGATACTTCAAAAATATAATTATATACCGATGAAAAAGAGAGAAAAACTTACCAAATGAGATTTGGTTTACGGCAAGGTGTTTTTTATAGTACTTGGAGAGACCATTGGCGATCAGCGCATGCTCGGAACGTTGCGAAGGCAGCACGCTGCGCGCGCGCTGCGCCTCGTTTCGAACGTCCTGGTCCATTATACTCTCGTCTAGTGGCGGTGGGGTCTTCTTAATCGTACATAACTGTAATAAAAGTAGTATTTAAGTGATAAATACAAGTTCAGATTGACATTTAACGACATTTTAGTTATCACCAACGTTAGGTAGGTTAATCTTAGTTTAGGTGTTACTTTGCGCTAAGTAACTTTTAGTTAAGAGACAGTTTATTAACCACCTTTTGGTGAAAACGACCGTAATTAGCGACACATATTTACTTAGTACACATAAGTATTAACATTTTTATTGATTTGTTAAGGAAAAGGAACTTAGTGTGTAAATTAAGAACAGTCAAATGGAGATAGGTACATAATTAAATGATAATATAGAAATGATATTACAAACCTTCTGGAAGACTCTGTACTCGATGATCATGAGAATAGTCCAGAACAAGATGCACGATACAATCATACATGTCAAGTATCGAGATATGCCTGGCTGACTCCAATTGAAGTAAGCATTCGGCTCGACTGCAATAAAAATATTCAAACGTAAATCGTATCACCTTTATATTAATCACTAACTGACCCGCCAAACTTCATACCGCCTAAAAATATTTCTCACCTTTTAAACCTTTCCTGGAATTCCACGAACATTTCAAGATCAAAATTAGCCAAATCGGTTCAGTCGTTCTCGACTTTTAGCAAAACTAATGAACGGCAATTCGTAAAAGATTTGACAGATAAAAAAAATGTATGAGGAATATGAGAAATTCTACTTACCACAGCATTCTTCGTAACGTGTACATAAATTTTCCATCGTGCACTGAAAACTAGGAGTCACTGCTTGTACGTACTCGCACATTTGAAGACAAGTGTATTCGCGCAGTCCAACTTGGTTCAAAAATCTGAAATAATATAAAACAATTAACCGCTTATCTGTCGGCATATGAAACACATAATACACATTGCGCCTCTCGTACATCTACGTTCATACCACGGGTACGGTTCATACCACGTAATACCACGGGTTAATAAGATATAAATACTTGTACTTGGTGCGAGGTCACCCCTGGCCCAATATATCACTGAGGGTTCCAGTTGCGGTCCAACCTACTCAGGCATCGCCATAATACTAGATCGCGATAAGCTTTTGGCAAATAGTATTACTTAATACATTTTCCAATATTTTTTTTACAACAGACTATAACGTCGTTTACTAAAGAGAAGTTTAGTACACATACCTGATCGCAGTAATTAAACTGTAAAGCGGGAAGAACTGTAATATGTAGTCGAGTATATTAGCGGCGGTTGCAGTGTCAAGCTGAGGAGAGGATAGCGCTTCCACCACTTGTGCACCCATCATACCTGATAACAAAGATATTTTTGACGTAAAAATATGTATGAATTTCAAAAAAATTAGTAAATAATTCTACCACTTTTCATTTTAAAATCAATTTGTATTACTCACCGAAAATTACGTTCATAAAGTAGTAGCCGACGAAGCCAACAGCAGGGCCATTGAACGCATACGACACAATGTACACCAGCGGTAACATTGCAGCACCATACAGCATTACGCACAAGTACATTCGACCTGAAAGCAAAGAATTAGAAAATTAGTTTCTTTTAAACAAGTTTCTTTCTCCTTGTTGACTCGGCTTGTTGTTTTAGTAATTGCAGTATTTGAAAGCGCGAATGTATTTATTTAGAAGGATGTAACACGTATTTGGATGTTTTCAATATTTCATGTATGCTATTACTCGGGTCAAACAAATGTATCATAATCACGGAGTATAATTATTGTACCCTGTCAATTTGAATAAGAAATGCCAGCGTGATTAATTTAGACAATAATTCTCCACATAATGGAGGAATTTCTTCTTGACAAAAAAACCGTACATAGTTCCAAAAAACCGTAAGTATGTACGTAGCAATAAAAAAAACGAATTACCCAATTCCTGAAAAGTAGATAGCCCGATAACTTGGAAGGCGGCACAGGTGACTACAATTGAGATACAAGTGATCAGGAACCACGACCAGTTGAAGACAGCAGCACTACCCCACAGCACAGCTGGTTTTACTCCCGCGGCCTTCTGTAAGAGCTTTGCGCCAGATGTGCGCTCCTGCAAATAAAAATAAGTATAATATTTTTAATTTAGAAAGGGAATTTTTAATTTAGAAAGGGAATACTATCTATTAGTGTCTTTTCTCTTATTCCTCCAAAGGTTATCTATCAACTACTTGTAGCTTTCGCGCAATAAGCTCGATTGAACGACCTATGATCGACTACTTATACTTAGCGGTGTTTTCCAGGTCTTAGCACACACATAATTAACGACATACTACAATATATATTTATTCAGCGCTGGTATGCACCATCTTACCCTAATAAAGAACATGATGAATACAGCGCTAACGATACTGACGCTGCTGCCGATACCAGAAGACAGCTGCATAGAGAGCATGGCAATCATCATCTGCATGTCCGTCTGAAATCAAAATGATTTATTATCGCATTAAGTAAAACCATCATGAAACAGTTGACTGACTTGTGATTAGTCGAGTGGTCGCAAGAGTCAAACCTGGACGGAACCGAACCAGTCGCACTGGCGAACAAGGGTCATGACGTCGATGGTTCACTCCCACGTTACACGAGACAATTTCAAAACATAACTGTTACATTGACACCTCTACAAAACTTGGCGAAATCTCAATGGCACAAACTTCATTGACTAACCTGGTCACTATAAGTAGCTTCCAATGGATGATTGTAAACGTTGAGCTGGGCACTGGAGTTGAATGCTCTAAGAATAGCCGAGTGGAGGGTAGCCAGGGATATAGCGACATCGTGGTAACCAAAGTTACTGAACCAAGCTGTCGCATTGTTGTCGTCGAATGTAGAGCCAATCAGGATCTGGTGACGCAATTGCCCCAACATCACTGGATCCATTGTCTGAAAACATAACATAGGTTATTTTAGTGAATTAACATATAATTCCAACTTAAAAGATGAAAACTTAAGTTTTCTCTTGTCTACGTACCTACGTAAAAAAAGTTCGGCTATTATCATATTAGATTAGATATTATTATATTATCACAATAGTAGATAAATCACTATATTAATCTGTACGTGGGGATTCAAATCAAATAATACATTTTTAACTAACTTCACTACCGGATCTGTGTAGGTACCTATGCGTCATAACTTTTTATGCCAGCTTACCCTATTTAGATAATACTGCTCCATAGGTTGGTTTCCAATACGAGTCAAGCCCATGTTCGCCACGTCTGAGGCTGCGAACAACACCTCATAGGCTGTTGCCACGATAGCGCCGACAGATGACCCTAATGTACCGTTGAAACTTAACAGAGTTTCTGTACTTGTGAATCTGGAATTAAATTGATTATTATATTTTATAATTCTGGATGTAATCTTCACCTGTTGACAATTGTTATGAAATTCACATTCCTCTTATAGCAACACATAACATATGTAGTGTAAGTGGATTCAATGAGTAGAATATTCTTTTTTTTTTAATTCAACCTTTGGATTTAAAATAAATGGGTGACAACCATGTTACGTCACAAAGAACGACAACTCGAAATCCACATCCACATATTAACTTAATCTAATCTCTTTCAGATATATCTAACATAAAAATTTATGACTCACCCTTCAGCCAATGATAAAAATCTTGTTTTTATAGTTGGGGTTAAGGCCATTACGTATCTCATAACTCCAAGCGTGGCATTGATTAGTACGATGGGAGCACAGAACTGCAGGATCATTAACCAGGGTGAACGAATCAGTATCAGTCCCTTCTTCATCCACACTGCTAATACTTGCTGACATAGTAATCGGAAACCGGTCACACTGCTTTCGTCTCTATCCACTAAAATAAAAATTAATTGCATTTTAATAACTTATAACAATTCTTACAGGACCCTAAATTCGATAGTTCATCGCGGCAAAGGAACTTACATTCTTCTAAAGACGAATCAAGTTCATGTTTTAAAATGTCGTCAATGGTGGAGTCCGTCGTAGTCGTAATAGCGTCATCATTGTCTGAATTATTTACAGGTGCCAAGTCCGAACCGACTCTGTAAAGCAAAATATTTATTAGTAACTTTTAGATACGAAGGTCAACTAAAATTGGTCTGCTACAATAACATAAATAGTTACTTACGACATAAACACATCCTCCAAAGTGGTAGCAATTAAACCATAGTTTTTGAATTTTATCGTTTCCATATTCCTTTCCAAATCGTTTAGCATTTCTTCGAAAGCGTATGAATAATCATTGATTAAATTATAAGTAATTTCCGTACCTAAAAAAAAGACATTCCAAAAATTCAGCATTAATATTTAATTGATTTTTTACTTTCCAACTAACTGTTGGGTATAATTTTTGTTGTTTTCTTCTTTTTACTTTGTTTTTATTCTAGTTTAGTTGTTGTTAGTTTTAAGTTGTAAATATTTATGTAGTAATAATTGTTAAGTATTTTAGATTAAAAGTCAATTCCTTTAATGACCAAATCCTGACCATTATTAGAAATAATGTTAACATTGTTATTTATATTAAAATTATAAACTGTTATTAAATGTAGGTTACGTATTAGTAAATGTTTCATTTATGTCTAACTTACCACGGTCTTCTTTGACAACAGTATCTGGAATGTATCTATTTATAAGTGCAGTGCATTCTTCGAAGTCGAAGTCATCGTCCTTAACGACTACAAGTGTGTAGCCGACGCCATAATGACGTTTCAGGAAATAAGGTGAACCCACACACTGCAAGCGACCTTGCGCCATTATAGCCACTCGGTCACCGAGAATATCAGCCTCGTCCATAAAATGTGTGGTCAAGATCATCGAACGACCTAATTGTAAACAATTTGTTAGATAATATTGTTAAAATCAATTAAACTACTTTTTGTATTAAAGGTTTTTATCGGTTACCTTTCTTTTCCTTCTGCAGAAGTTCCCAAAGTGCTCGTCGAGAAGAAGGATCCATTCCTGATGTTGGTTCATCAAGTAGTACCACACGTGCCGCTCCACTTAAAGCTATTCCAACACATAAGCGTCGCTTTTGACCTCCAGACAAACCATTAGAAGGATAGTCTCGCTGTAAGAAATCAAAATATAAGCGTGTTGTAGAAAAACTTAGCGTAAGTCGTAAAGTAGGTGCCAATAAACCAACCTTCTCTTGTAGTTCCAATTTTTCAATAAGAGTATCAATCTCAGACTTGAGCTCAGCTCCATGAAATCCTTTCAACCTGGCAAAGAATTCCAAATGTTCTCTGACAGTGAGTTCATTAAATAGTACATTGTGTTGAGGACATAAGCCAATATGGGCACGAGCCAAAGAACCTTCGTGTGTCATATCATATCCAGCAACAGTCACAGTACCCCGGGTTACCTCCAAATTGCCTACAATTTGATAAAAACAGTAAATAAATAAAAATCACATTTACCATACTTTAATAATTTCCGCATACGTAACTCTAAAATTGCAATCGTTTTGAAGACCTTCAATTATATTTAACCCAGTAACATTACCTACATAAAAGCTAGTGGGCTAGTCCACAATTATATGATTGCGTAAGAGTTCCGTTGCTTGCCTGAAGCAGAAGCCACAATTGATATGCACCCACTCTGCTACGTAATTTAACATTACCTCCCTACTTCCTTAGTTTTATGAGGTAAGTGCAGACAACTACCGAAATAAAGTTCAAAAATTGTACAAACCTGTCAACATTGATATCGTGGTTGATTTCCCAGCACCATTGTGCCCAAGTAGTACTGTGATTTGATCGTCATAAATATTCAAAGACAAGTTGTTGACCGCCGTATTAGCTCCGAAGATTTTTGTTAAATTCTGTAAATAAAGTATGTAGTTAAGGGAGTGTCTACATTATAAAAGATGAGATTAAGGCGTCAAATACTTGTCGAAAACAGGTTTCTTAGATTTATAGTTTTTATCATACTTACATGCATTTTAACACCCACGTCGTGGTCAGTAGGTTCTTTTTCCTTTATGATGTCTTCAAAGTCACTGTTCTCATTTTCCAAAACCAAAACCGAACCTCAAAATGAATAAGAAGGAATTATTAATTGAGTCTCAAAGTTAAACAAAATTTAGATACTTAAAAAACACTAGGTATTCACCTGATTTATAATTGGGGAACCAAAACCGCAACTGGAACGGGAAGTACCAACGTTTGGGCGTGCCAAACGGTCCAGGCAGCACTTGTTCGAGGTAGAGGGTAACCAGCATATAGATGACACAATCCACCACAAGCATGATGACCACGTGGCCAAACACGAAGCGAGCAGAGTCCGTCCCTGGTGACGCCATAAACTCGCCCCACTGCAAGCCTAATTGAAGGAATATGATCAGCAATTTAACACTCAGACAGTCGCTATGGACGTTATTCTCCTACGTTCATAATGTTTAGTCCGCACGTCACTATCGTACGATACTTCGTAAGTGACGAGGTTTGTACTAAAGTAATTTAGTTATACATTTTGTCTCCATGCGTATTTGGAAAGGTACCTATAAGAAATCGAGTGTTGCAAGCACAGGAGAGTAAAATTACTTTAAAACACTTAAAAATCTAATTCACAAAATGCTGTCCTAAAAGAGATTTGCCAACTCACCTCCAGTACTTTCCTTGGCAAGCAAAAGCTGGAATCCATAAGACATCGCAGAGTTAATACTAAGGCATGTGAAGACTTGAACTGCGGTAGACATGTTGATGTCCATTGCCAGGAGGAAGGCAGGGATGTATGTGAGGAACCAGACAACTACAGTGCACAACGCTGCTGTACTAGCTACATAAAATAAAACAACATTAAATGATATATACTCATACAAGTTATAAAACTACTTACTAACTAATGATGACGAAACATACCTCTGGAGAAAAAGCTGCTCATCATAAAAGAGAAAAATATCGTGCATGTTAGGTACAGCATCATGAAAAACATCAGAACTGTCCAAGGCGTGTTAGTAAACACTGCGTAGTCACTGAACCCGTCTTCGTTTGTAAACCAATTTATCTAAAAAAATGAAATAAAGTTTTAAAATAGTTGACACCGAAATGTAAAAAATTATATAGTTACCTAGAGTAATTTTGAAAACTCACCTTTAAAAGTATCACTGTCAAACTTGCGGATATTAACAAAAACAAAAACTGTTTACAGGTCCATGCAGTCCAATGCAACCAGGTAGGTAGACCCATAATTTTCATTGTTTCCTTAAAAATGACAAAAACATTATTTATTTGAATTTTAAAATATTATTCCTAACTTTGATTTGAGAAGCCATTCAATCTAGTTTTGTATTCTATGCATGTATGAAGATTACCTTTAGTTGCAATTCCTTTTCTACCGTGACCGCCCTTGTAATGTTGATTGCAGTGTAACTGAAGCTTAACATGATGAACATAGGGAACATAAACTGCAGAAGGTCAAGTGCCATGTCCCTGACGTACGGTGGGTGAGGGTACCTCTGTAAGTACACTCTGAATTCACTCAAGTCTACTCCTGTTGATCTTGTTATCAATTCAGTTGAAATAACTTGTTGTAGTGCTATGAACATTTCGTTTATATAACCTGCATACAGAACATGAAATAAATTAACAGTGGTAGTAGTATTACTATTATTGTATTCAGATTTTCTATTTAACTTATTTCGTACGTAAAAGTAGTCCATAGTATGATTAATTAAATAAGTTTATAGAAAGGTCGTTACCTGGGTCGTTCCCACCTTCCCAAGATTTCGAAAATCGGGGACCAGGGGTTTCGAAAACAGGGAAAACGGCATCTGTTCTCCAAGTGCGACCTCCAGTTTGGAATAATGAATTAAGACGAGGTCTCTCGGGGAATCTTAGTGAGTATGACAAATTATTGGACAATGCCTCTGCGCCTAAAATTGATAAAATAATTTAGTGTCAGTAAACTGAAATACATACAACAGAACCATTACATACTTAGTTATATGTAAAGTAATACAATACCAACCGTATAGTTTATCGTCAAACTCTACGACCGCTATAACCTTTCGCGTATTTTCTTCTTCTATATAAATCCCTCTAGTTTCATGACTATTTTTATAAGATTCTACAGTTATACGAGATTTTATCCAGTCAATAATAGCGGTAGAATTTATTTCAATGGTAGGTGGTAATTCTATTTCCACTGGTAAGTGAGCAATTAAATCTTCCATGTTATATAGTAGTAAATTAGAGACTGCAGTTTTAACTACGTCTTCTAATATAGGACTAGATGGTGAGAAGGCAATCGATAGTTTAGTGTAATTCATGCCGAACCTGTAAAAAAAGTTTGTGTTATATTTTAAATTAGCTACATACGATTTTTTTACGCTTTAGGAAGCCCACCTCTCATGCACGAGAGTGAGGGTTCGAAACCTACAAACAGCAAGTACCAATGTGACTTTTCCGAGTTATACGTACTTTCCAAGATTATCTAGACACCACTGATAAACGGTGAATTAGTTTTAAGTATTTATATATAATGATTGTACTTTTTATATAAGATTTAAGTAGTAAATAAGTAATTTTTATTTTTTAACTGTATAATGTTTTGGCTTGTGCTGTAAAATTATGCACGTGCTAATAATAAATAAATACGAAATGAAATTATTTTCACTACAACTTGAATCATGTTTTTATCTCACTACCTAATGTAGAGCAAATTCAGTATTGTAAATACCCAGGCGTATGAACTGTTTACACTAGAATAACAGAAATATTTAAAGTCATCGTGATAAGGAACATTAATGATTAGTAAGTACTATATTTTTGAATGGTAATAATTGATATAACATATTACGTATATTGATTTACGTTACAAATGTTCAGAGGTACAATGTCCGCTTGAACACGTTGAATCACTCCATAATAAAAATGCAATAAAAGCAGGTAAGGGCAGTGTACATCAGTGGAAACAGGCTAATTATGACCATGAGGATGACGATGGTGATGAATTTTAACATTGGAACTCTACATTCAAATAGCGAATTTGATAAGATTTTCCAGTAGTGAAATGAAATGGAATGAAATAATGAATTTTGGTAAACTTACAGTACTTGTGCAGAATAGTTGAGTGTGTGTGCTCTTATAGGCGGGTAGGTGAGTGTCTCTCTTTCTGCTGGTTCTATCTGCCATCGGAGAAGTAGCACTAATGTCATGGTTAGAACTGGAAGTAGTATTTCCAAGGCTGTTTGAATTCTGTGTCTCCATTGTTGTAGGAAGTTCTTCCACATCAACAGCCGGAACTTTGTGAAGGCGCTGGCCTGCTTCGGTACCCGCCGCATTGTTAAAGCGATGGCGTCTGCCTCCTGCATGTTACCCAACAGTTATAGTTAGTTAAAACCTTCATTGTTTCGACCAGGTTACTTAATTACCTATATTTCAATTCGTTCTTTCATTGTTATCACACAATTCGATAAGCTTAATTTTCTTCCTGATTAAGAATAAATTAAAGATAAGTATTAAGACAGATAATAGTTAAATACGTATTTGCTTATACAATAATACCTATTCACGTGTTGTTGAGTGGTGATTTTGTAGTGCGAAATAGAATAAATGCGTCATGTCTTATCTTTGAAACCTGCAAAACACTTCGCAATTAAGTATAAATCTTAAAAAGTTCAGTTACCTTCGATTAATTGTATACAAACAATAAGGTTTATTTATTGCTTTCCTAATCTTTAGATTAATATTATCTCTGGCGCCTACTAATTTTCATACTGCAGCCGAATCTGGGGTAAATGGCCTACATGACTTAATCACGGTAAATATTATTACCGCGACTTAATGCATCTCTTTACTGAATTTATTGGACCCGCTTAAATTGTTTTCAGTAAGTATATATATAATTAATCATATTAATTAAATCTGCGTACCTATCAGTACATTTTAATTAATATAAAAAAATATGATATGACAAGGATAAGACGATATATTTAATATACTTAGAATTACTTAAAAAGCGGCTTTCTATCACTCATACACTTATAACAATATCATTCACACAATCTAAGGGTAGATAAAACCTACATATTATATTAATCGCATATCGTCTAGTCCTTGATGTAGGTACTAATTAATTATTACACGGATTAATATTATAACCTGCCTTTTCTAAATATTTTACAAAAACAGATAAACCGTAAATCTAAAGATACGTTACAAAAATTGTAATACCTACCGTAAGATATGACAGAATCTAAAATACCTTATCACGAATGTCATAACATGTAGGAAGGCATTCCTAAGATTGACGTGCCTATTGCTTTCAATCTTTACTATGTTTCCGTACTGTTACCATTGTCTCCGTTGTTTACAAAAGGATTTCGTGAATTGAAGGATTTAGGGCTCGTACACAAAACTGCGATGCGATGCGATGCGAATACTCAACGTAAAAAATTACGATCCAAATTGCTGCGATGCGATTTCGTGCGACAAGGCGTCTCCCACCCTGGGAGACCATTCCTTCGACGACCGTCAACCGTACTAAACGTATTTTAAATTGAAAACTAGGTCGTGGCATGTATCGTACAAAGAAGTGTGCTCTTCTGTTATTGCTTAGGAGATACAGGAAAAAGAAACAAAGAAGATTTTGGGAAGATAAGATTTTGATGCGCGATGCAAATCAATTCGCAAGTTCTTGCGATGCGTAGAGGGAGTTTGCTCATTTTTGCGATTCGAAGTCGCATTGCAGTTTTGTGTACGAGCCCTTAGTTTTGTGATGGGTGTGAACAAACATACTAAATACTAGTTTCATTGCACCCAGATCCAGGACAAGAGAGGAAGAGCTGTGCCAATTACGCAATGTTTTATTTTTAACTGCATAAAAAGAGAACTAGAGAGTTAGTAAATAAAAAATCGATTCGAACGGCACAACAATACAGGCACTCATCTATAGTAGATAGTAGTAATTGCACTCATAAAATAGTAGCAGTTGCACTCAGAATGCACCTAACGAACTTAATCAATCGAGCTTCATGGAGAGTGCATTAAGTACTAGAACTGTTTTAATCGAAGTATTGTACAAACAATTATTGGAAACAAGCACTTACTAGTACTAAATTAAAGGACGCGTGACTTGTTCGGTTGAGTCTCATGGACATAGATAAATACTTAATACATAATTATTAATAGTAAACTAGTTATTTAAAGTTAATATAACTGAATAACGTCCAACAATCCATCACGTTGTAGTGAGCATTGTAAACGTGACCGCCTAGCACGTGGTTTACTCCATGATTCGATTTTCGTGTGAATTGTTTAGCTAACTTTATAACCGAATTTTTTTCGTGTTTATCTCGAGCACATACATTAGTACTATATTTGAATTAGATTTAATAACTGTCACACTAATATGAATTTCCCTATTAGGTTACAATGACATAGCAAAAGATTTTTAATTTCGTAGCCGTTTCGTAGCCGTTTTGTAGCCGTTTTGTAGCCGTTTCGTAGCACGTTTCCTAAGCAACATGTACTCAATTAAAATGCAATTACGTTTGATTTTAAATTAAACTATATTTTTGTAGTTAATTAGGTACGTATAATATTATTATAAAGCTAACATGATTTTATTTGGTTCCAATATCTCAACATTACGATTGTATAAAAATAAACAAATAATTTGTTGGTTACCTACCAACTAATTAGTTAGTCTCGAACATATTTACATATAGGTACAATATCTACAAAAACGAACGTAGTGCATATCTACAAATATTACTTAGGTATTAATTCGTTTGGAATATATCAATATTTTACTGATTATTCCAAGATTTAAATTATCAAAATGAATGTGCAAAAACAACAAAAGATAATACATTTAGAGTTAGGCATTTAAATGTTAAGCTCAAATTGAGTACGTTTATGTTAGAACAAAAGAGCATAATGTATTTATGAAGGTACTTTTATGTTTGCTAATTTTAAGTACGAAAGTATGGTTTATTTGAGCACTTATCACTTAGTAGCATGTGTACCGGAGCTTGCTCATTTCAGAAATGCTTGCCAATCGACAGGCGTTCGAATTTTGAGTATTTTGGAGCATGTTTAATTGTACCTTTATACTTGTCCACATTGCATATCATGTTTTGTAATTACGACGCGCGACGGCGCGGTGGCTGGGCAACCAGCTGTGTATGTGAACTTGTATGTTTGTAAACGCACCCGTGACACATGAGGAAATCACAGTATCGAACGTTAAAAAAACAAACACGCTGTTATAAGTTCACTTTTCATCAGCTGCGTTATTACTTTTATTTGCCTAGTGAACTGTGTATCTCACAGAACATATAAACCTACTTTATATGTTTTGAGGTGTATCTGTTTATGATTTCATGATTTCAATGTAAATTACATAAGACCGAAAACTCTAAAATGTGAATCTTCTGGGTGACACGACAGTTTTCTCATTCGGATAATAACAAGCACATAAAGCATACGCTGAGTCCATTTTTGTACTCTTCACGTTATGTTATATGCCTCATACAACCTGTTACTACATATTTATGTATTAGTACTATAGCTAATGTCATCGCTTGCCTAATCTCTCCGTTATCACATGTTATCATTATCAATTTATCATAGTAAAAGCGTTTGACATTTTCCTCTTTGGTACGCATGACGCCTATTGTAGGGACACAACGTATATATTATAACGTAAATATAAACTAAAAGCTTATGCAGGTAAGGGAGGATTCATTATATAATATAAATCCCTTTCAAATTCGTCGAGTAACTCACAAACAGACTAATAATAACTCGAGTTCACAATACTGATTTGAATTTGGTCCTCAACAGACAAAGGACCTATTTTACGCAAGCTCTTAGAATTGCAATAATGTAATTCATGTTAGAAATTCACTTACCAAATAAATAAATGAATAGGAAACTCCAAACAGAAATAGAAAAACCGTGAAAACTTATCTATCACAGTTGGCATTTATCTAATCTCAAGATTAAGTGTTCATAGATTCACTTATTTGTAAAAATAATTATAGGTACGTACTTCTAGCTAATCTCGTATTCTAACATAAATTGGTACTAGTTACACCGTATAGAACACATATCGAAATGATATAACTACCGCTTCGGATTTATTCACACCCGTAACGTCTGACGCCTAATTAAAATTCGACAGAAGATACTACCGGATAGGCAAACTGTTCAATTCATACGCCAAATAAAGGCTTGCTTATATGTACCTAATTTAAATATAAATCATTTATCACTCTAATCAATGTTATCAATTTACACAAACGATTAATGTTTGTGTAAATCATGAGTCAGACTCATGTATTTTATCAGGAAAAACTCGAACAGAACCAGCAGTAGGAGTTTTCTAGGAAGTATTTTCACCTCTGAACTTGAATTTCGTCTCGTTTGTCGTCACACTAAAAGTACAATTAGTAATAATATTGATTCGCATCAGAATTACCCAACTATTATTACAGATTATTTATCAAAACAATAACGAAAGCTGTTTTGATGAGATTTTTTTTATAGTAGGTACGAAAGATAAAGTTAATCCAGCAAAATAGAATTTGATAACATTTTATATCCTGGTCTAGAAAAAACTTAAGTATGCCTTCTATGATGTGTACGAATGTTACGAATGTTATTAAGAAGATCTCCTGAATACTGAGGCGTCCCACTTTTACCCCTTATTACAGAAGACAATTTTCAATTTTATTTTTGCTATAGAAAATCATAGAGGATAATTCCGCAGTCTTTTTTAAGCTTGGAACACCTGTTTACTGGCAGTGCACGGCCGTGTTTATCTTCCTGTCTCACTAGCCTGCTACGCCTTTAAAAGGGGTTAGGTACCTAGGTACCTACCGCCAGAACTAAGTATTTTGTAGTTACTATACTACTATGGTAGATGCTCCATCTACTGATGACTAAAGAGTACAATAAGAGTAGTGTCAAATATTACATTTTTATCAAAACATGATAATACCTGCGTCAATACTTAATATGAAATTTAGGAGATTAGAGCTGTTGTCACGTAGATTGTCTTATTACTTACGAAATGTTTCAACACTTTTAATATTTTTCACTTTTCATTATATTTAATTTAATAATAGGAACCTTTAGCGCTTCTGGTTTTACAAACTTGCATTTCGAAATAGCGTTAGCCGTAGGCTGTCAGGGTATTAATTTTCGATCGTGTACGAGGAAATAATAATTTCCCAAAGAAATAGAAAATGTAGATTTAGAAGACAAGAAATCAGACTGACAGAAATCAATAGAACCTAGATATTTATTCTTAAAACAGATACATAAACATCGA